AAATTCGACTTTTTTTACTTGATGATGGTGGTAAAATTGGATAAACTGGAGGAAAAAAAAGAATCCGGATTAGAGCAGGATTTGCATTCTAAAATGCTGCTTTGACCTTGGCACTCTGGTTTGTTCAAATAACCTTTCAACATTATACTGAGAGTTCTCAAGTGTTTTCATCCATGAATAAATTATCAAAGGGTGCGTTTGATGCATGGCGTAAAATTCCGATTCATTAAATACTATAAGCTGACTGCAAGCTTAAGTTTCAAATCCTTTTCCTTTCATGATATGAGATTTATTCTATAATGATACTTGAATTGTTCAAGACATGAAATGACCAATTTTTCATTGACAATTGCAAGCTTTAAAAAATGTAGGAAACAAAATGAATATTCAGTAACAGCAAGTATTTTGTTTGAATTTTTCAGCTTTTAGCTTTATGGAGCTTTATTTTAGTCTACTGAAATTGTTTCTTTGTTTTTTTCGTTTTGAATAATATTGGTAGCAGCGGCTGGTTTTGTTTAAGATCACCTTGGTGAGTGACACTTTAAGCACTCCGGGTAGGGGTGGGTTTGGGGTAGAAGTGCAACCGGACTTGTGATCAAATTATTTTGTAAGATAAATTTAAATCTCTACATTTGAATACTGCGGCTTCTGTATAAATTTATTGTGACTCTAATTTAGTTTTCTTGGCTTATAATACCAGTAAAAATAAGTTCATCTGATTGATTTTTATTTTGGTAAGTTATTGATAAATTATAGAATATATGTTTTGAGATATAAATCTGAAACGCCCTGAAAATTTAGTTAACACCTCATTTTAATCACCCATTTAAAATACACCTGTTTTGATAAATTTATCATTCATATATCAATAATCAATTTGGTAATACAATATGTACCATCAGCCCTGAACTTATACATTTGTGAATATATTAGAATATATAAATAAAATATCTGCCTTACCTATGTAATACATATTTTATTATTAATTATGCAATGCAGTTAAAAAGGAATGAATTTATTTCTTACATGTATAAATGATAAGTTTTACAATATTATAAGATGATTAAAGCTTCAGATTAAAACTAAGTTCTTCATTATTCATAACCTGTGAAATATCTGAAATGGACATGTCCATCTTTCAATCAAGATAAAATTTAGCATTCATCATTTTTAGGGAAAATTTCAAACCATGACTGAATAGGGAACACTGTGCACCTGACCTTGATGATAGATGACACAGTTTGTACCGATTTAAATTTTGGCCTGCTATAATCACATGACCTTGATGATAGATGACACAGTTTGTACCGATTTAAATTTTGGCCTGCTATAATCACATGACCTTGATGATAGATGACACAGTTTGTACCGATTTAAATTTTGGCCTGCTATAATCACATGACCTTGATGATAGATGACACAGTTTGTACCGATTTAAATTTTGGCCTGCTATAATCACATGGGTTACTAAGAAGCAAGCTTGTATCAATCAAGTACATAAATATGTGAGATGACATGCTTGTTTAAACTCCCTGGGCCCAAACCCTCCCTGAGTGAGCTCAAACATAGGAACTCCAGGTTGGGAGGCAGTCTGATGGAGGCTGTCTCATATAACGGTTATTTGTAACCTCAGCTTCTAGACCATGTATTATATTTCATTAGGGCAATCCCTCTTGTGATTAAAAAATAAGCTATATGCTTGTAAATATATGAGAGCCTAAATTTGATATTTATTGTATGTCTGTAATTCTGCTATTTACAGACTCTTAGTACTGTACTAGAAATTAGAATTGTCCATTTTGGTAGTTTAAAAGGTTTCAATCTTAAAATTCTTAAATTGAGTAGCTAATAAATAGTTTAAGATACTCTGTAAGAGAGTATTAAGGATGTTCTTAGTCTGGCCTTCATCCTTACTGGTGGCAATGGACCATTCAAGTAGTCTTAAAATAAATAAGTTGTTAAGGTATCTGCCCCTCATTGGCCAGGGATTATGGGTTCAAGCTCTACTCAAGTCATAACCATGATTTGATCCTTTTTTTCCAAATGATTGATTGTATTTATAAAATGCAAGAAGTGTCTTGTTTCACTTTATATAATTTAAACTTTACAATAAAACTATTGGTTGAACTTAATATAAATTATCACGCAAGTTTGGAAGAGGCATTTCATTACAGTTTGAAAACTACTCTCTATCTAAAATAGCACTGTTGAAACACACAATCTTAAAACAAGATTATTTAAAAATAATTAAATCTTGAATTAATTACAAAAGAAAAATCTTATGTAACAGTCACATGACTCGATGCATTCGAAACACGTTTAAAGATAAAATGTAAATATTAATTAAACCTCATCGTCACACCATCTTTTTCTCTTTATAGGGACTCCACTGAGGTTTTTTGACATGATGGGACTGAAAATATTTTTTCCAGATAATTGTACAATTTGATGTAGGTTTAGACTACTAATCTTTGTGCAAAATTTCAGATCATTTGTGCACACCATTTTTCCAGAATAATTATTCAAATTGTAAAAAACTGACCCAAACTGAAAATCGCTTAAACGCTTTTCACTCAAATTAGGCTAAGAAAAGTATAAAAATACGATTTTCAATTTATTTCAAAGTATATTTCTTAACTGTCTTTGCATATATTACTGTTTAAAGTGCCCCAGCTCATTTATGTAAGAAATTCAAATGTTATGTTTTTGGACTTTTAATCCTCAGTGGAGTCCCTTTAACCTTTCGTTTCTTTACATTAATTTCTGCAGTTTTGGATACTTAATATAAAATTACCCTGTTTGTGCCTGAAATAATACACAGAAGGGCACCTGAGGCCTTCTTCCACCAGTAAAAGCTGGAATGTCATCATAATAATGACCTAATTACTGTGTCGTTGCATTACAAAACCCAGCATACAAAAAATATATCCAAAATTAATTAAATATGTCTCAATTAAACAATAAACATGTGTTCAGATAAAGTTTAAGAATAAATTACACATTATAATAATATCTTAAATTCATATATCAAAGTGAAGTCTCAAAATTATAGGCCACATTTTAAACAAAGGGTCAAATCATTGAATGAATACTTAAAATTTGTCTGTTAAAAGTTGAATGTTTTCAGTGCTCTTTCAGGCATTCATAATTTTAGCCATTGGAGATGTTTAGTGTATGGTCCACTTTTCTTGGTTGACTTCAGATAAACTGTAATTTTACGCGTTGCACAGAGATAATATCTTACGTGTTGGTGATTTACTGTCAACACCATCGTATGAATTATATACGTTGTCGGTCAAAGTTGCCATGTAAAATATCCTCGGGCCGTTTCTACATTTCAAAATATTAAAAGTATCCTTATTAAATAACTTGCCTACACAAAAAAACCCCAACAAACATCATATAACAGAGAAGTACATGTACTTCCTTGTAATTGATTTTAATTAATGTTATAACTGTAAGATAATGAGTCATTGTGGTGAATTTTATGATAACATATTTCTGCGCTGATGAGCAAAGCACACCTGTTATTTTCTTGACAATAAATTGTTTTAATAATGCAAAAAGTGCACTGGTGTTAATTATTTCATCCATTTATTTTACTGTGAACATGCATTTATATATCTATATATACATGTATATATATATATTAATAAGACAAATTAATTGTTCCACAACTTTTTGAAATTCATAAAGTGAAGTTATGCCAACATCTTTATTTCTAATACTGTTAAAGATAATCAATACTGTTAAAGATAAACAATGTAATACTAAGAAATCTTGGGGTGGTAAGGGGTAATTGAGTATCCAAGATAATTATATGAGTGTAATATTGTGGGAATACAATACACATGTTACTTTACATGCAAAGTTCAATTTGGTGCAAGAAAATATAAAGGGGAGTCACTTAAAAGTATGCTTAGTCTAGATTGTCTTCCCTTTTTTTCTGCTCATAATTGATCACATTACAGGGTCTTATTATCACATTAAACTTACATGCTGATAAATTTTGGCATCCTTAATATTAACCATGAGCACTTCCAAATTTCAAGTATGAATTATGTTCATTTATATTCGTTAGCTCTGGTAGGGCTTAGTGTTCATTGATTTATGAGTGACTATAATCAAACTAATAACCTAATTTTAATAAACTATCTATTTAGTATACTATTGTTAACATGGAAACAAAGGTAAAGGAAATTCAACCTATTAAATTTATAAAAAAGCTGGTCACTTTTTAACATGATGTACATTAAATGAACATTTTAAGGTGGCAAATAAATAGATGTAGCTTTTATAAATGACTTTAGCACTTAACACCTTAACTATCATAGATGAACTCATTCATGTAAAAAATTTACTCTTAATGAAACAATTAATAATATAAATGGAAAATTCAGTATAAAATGACTGAATTTTCAAACAGTGCAGACCATGAACAGAGAACATGGATGTGCCAACTGTGTGATTCTCGGGTCTTGGTCTGCACTGGTTGTTCATTGATAGAAACAGTTTCTGCTAGCTGCGAGGCTAAAGGTTTATTGCTATAATGCAATAATACATGTATAGGTAATATCATATTCATTACTTAAATTACCAAGTTGTAAGCTTTAGCTTTCTTGAGGTTTTCATATGATGTTAATTATATAACTGTTGTTAAAGGGAGGAGTGGTAAAATAAGTGGTTTTAGGGTGTTGGTGTAATAGGATTGAGATAAAGGTTTCACCTTTAATGAATCACTTATACAACTATATGTTATTCTCATATGTTTCCTGGAATGTTTTTTTTTTGTTTTTCATTTTATTTTTTTTTTGGAATACTCAATTTGAGTTCCTGCTTTGACAAGTCTTGATTTAGGATGGTTTCTGGATTATTGTTTTGTTTTACAATTCCAGCTTGACATGGCTTGTTCTTGATTTGCTGGTTTAATATATATGTAGTCTTATTACATATTAGGTTATATATGTACATATGTATATTTATATTGTTTTTATTTTCAGGTATACAGTTTGTATGGAAGTAACTCAACGGTAAATGTTGCTGTGACAGAGTACACGATAACCCTTCAATGGGCATTTTCTGATCTTAACGCCACCTATAATGTTATCTATGGCATTAAGGACAACAGCACAGACAGGAAGACGGACAGTGTCGTTACACCGACCGATAACCAGACTGGAATCACCCATTTAATTTCAGGGCTGTTTCCAGGGCAGACGTATGACTTCGAAGTTCAATTGGATTCAGTCATTAATTTCTCAAACCACATAACCACAAGTATGTAAAATATATAAATGGAAACACTTTAACATTTCAAATAGTGCCAATTGCATCTAAGAATTTCCGACGATCAAAAATATCTACGAAAAAAAATCCCACAGTAGTGTCGTTATAATTAAGCCTAAAATAGGATTTATGTACGGACGCAAATATGGATCATTATAAATGAGTAATGAGTTTGGATACTTGATCAAGATATAGCTTTCTTGCCTTGATTAATTACATTGATATATATTACAAATTAATAGGGCTGGGAAGCATGATCAATTAAAGGGTCAAACGCGATTATGTTACTTTATACCAAAATATTCTTATGTATGCTCTTGACTTATTGGAAGTTAGTATTGAAATATTTCACAAATTAGTAACATAAAAACAGGAAATATGTCATATGGTAACATGATACTGTGTCTAGACACTCGTTCGTATAATCCCTCGATAATTAAGCACAAAATTCACGATCTTCACTTTCGAGCACTAAAAAGCCCCCTAATTTTTTTCTATTTATAAATCAAGTAAAATTACTGTCAAAATAATACTTTTGAAAGACATTTGCTGCGGAAATATTGACTTGACTAAGTGTCGTTTGTACGATTTGAAAAAAAAAGTTCTGTTTTTCTTTTTGCTCTTAAGAACCTTTTAAGTGTTTCCTTATTGCATGAATATCCATGATTTATGTCTTGTTATGTTAAAACGCCTTTTATTGCAGATTAACTGACTACATGTATGATATTTTCAAAATTTTCAGAACCTTTACCTGTGGAAGATGTACAAGTAACAAGTGTCACATCTACCTCTGCTTACATCACTTGGTTGCCAAGCAACCAGAGTATACAAGATTCATACAAGGTCTTTGTACAGGGTGTCACAGATAACACTTTCCAGTATGAGTCTACCAGTGTCAATGGCCCAGGGTTTTTGCTGCCAGGTCTGGTTGCTAGCAATAGTTACTCCGTTACTGTGGTAACATACAGTCAAGGACAGCCGAGTAATTCCTCACAGGTGTTGATAATGAATACAGGTGAGAAATGTTCTTCTAGCAGGTCTATAGAAATCAGGGGCTTTCAGTGAATTTGAGTGCCCAGAAATAATGAATAATGACCTTCCTCCTTATTTCTAGGGCAGAATATAGACTTAAAATTGAAGATCCCTAATAATATTTTTTTCAAACACTTAAAGATAATACATGTATGTACTAAATAATGCCCATCTTTGAATAAAAATATTTTTATCGCAGAAATTAATTGAAAACAAAATATGTGTAATTTGAAAAAAAAAAAAAATGAATAACTATGTATGGGAAGCTGCATTCTCTATTACAGGCCAAGTAAAGTTGATCCCTTCTTCAGAAAAGTTGCTATAAAAAAACCTATAATTATACTCACATTGTGTCCATCTATTGTGTGTATATTTTAAACATAACATATCTACCTTATGTGAAGTCAAAATAATGCTTATTTGATACTTTGGATAAAATGAGCATGGTTAATCATTCAAGAACACACGGTGAGAAAATGAGAAGATTTGGCCTGTACACAGCTCTTTTTAAGTCTTAAGATATATATTCATAAAAATAGGAGTCCTAAGATTAATAAAATTGTCATACAACTTCTCCATACAACCAGTATCTCTGCAGTAAGATTACAGCTCATAAAAGTTTTACTGCTGCATGTGAAGCGATTTACAATGCACTTTATAACATAGCTTAACTATTTATGTAAATACTATAATAATTGAGCCGTGTCACGACAAAACCAACATAGTGCGTTTGCGACCAGCATGGATCCAGACCAGCCTGCGCATCCGCGCAGTCTGATCAGGATCCATGCTGTTCACTATCAGTTTTTCCACTTGTAATAGAGTTGGTAAGCGAACAGCATGGATCCTGATCAGACTGCGCGGATGCGCAGGCTGGTCTGGATCCATGCTGGTCGCAAACCCATTATGTTGGTTTTGTCATGACGCGGCTCAATTATGATTGTTATACTTGGCAAGAGAGTTCCCAGTGATTTTAATGTCATAAAATTTTTAAGGTTGAGCCGATGGTAGGAGAGGGGTGTGATTTTACATTTCTCTGATTTATCCTCTTTGGTTTAATTTATTACAGGCATTTTAAATGTGCATTTTTTATAAACTCAGTTTATTTAAAGGTAGAACATCTTACAATATAAATGTAATTCTTGTGTTAAAAAAAATGCTTCTAAATAGACTTACTTCAGAATTAACATATTAGGAGAGGTACAAACAAACTTTTACAGAATAAGTGTAACAGGTTGACTAATTTACTGTGAAAGGTAGTGCACTGTAAAGCTATAACTAAAGCAATAGTGGGAATTAGCTTGGAAAATCCCACATTTGCTGACTTCCAAATAACACCTATTTGATGTATAAAGATGGTATTATGAAGTAAATTCGCAAAGCAGTTATTTAAAGGCATCCAAAAATAATTGGATGGTAGGGTTTAATGAAAATTTTAAATGACAATAACAAATGTAAGATTTGCTCCTTTTACCACTTGATTTAGATTATAATGACATTTAGATAATAATTACATTTAGATTTTTATGCTCCCCGAAAAATTTCGGGGGAGCATATAGTCGACACCTTGTCCGTCTGTCCGTCCGTCCTTCCGTCTGTCCGTCCGAGCAGACGAAGGCTACATTATGAGGTTTAGGTTTATGTACAGGCACTCTGTATGGGGTTCATTCCGTAGAGACATGTATTATGTGGTTAAAAATGCTCTTATGGGGTTAAAAAAATTTGCTCTTGTGGGGTTAAGAGATCAAAGGAATAACCCCACAAACACGTCTGCTAAGTATGTCCGTTGTCTTGTCCGGAGCATAACTTGAAAACCCTTGAAGATAATTTGTTGAAACTTCATACAGTGGTAGAGGGCATTGAGGGGGAGTGCAGTGTCAAAGAACCATAACTCTATTTTGCCCGGTTTTTGAATTATCTCCCCTTATAGAAAAATCTTGTCCGGGGCATAACTCTAAAACTATAAGAGATATCAACATGAAACTTTGTAGGTGAATAGATCTCAATGGGTAGATGTGCAGTGCATAAGAACAATAACTCTTTTTGTCCTAATTTTGGAGTTATTGCCCTTTGTTAATTTTAACACTTTGAACTTTGTCCGGAACATAACTCTAAAACTATAAGAGATATCAAGATGAAACATTGTAGGTAGATAGATCTCATTGAGTAGAGGTGCAGTGCAAAAGAACCATAACTCTGTTAAGCCTCATTTTTGAATTATCTCCCCTTTTAGAAAAATCTTGTCCAGGACATAGCTGTAAAACTATAAGAGATATCAACATGAAACTTTGTAGGTAGATATATCTCAATGGGTAGATGTGCAGTGCACAAGAATCATAACTCTGCCTTGCCTAATTCTGGAGTTATTGCCCTTTGTTTATTTTTACTTTTTGAAGTTGTCCGGGACATAACTCGGAAATCATAAGAGATATCATCAAGAAACTTTGTAGGTTGATAGATCACATTGATTAGAAGTGCAGTGCAAAGAACAGTAACTCTGCCTTGCCTAATTTTGGAATTATTGCACTTTGAACTTTTTCCAGGGACATAACTCTGAAACTACAAGAGGTGTACTTTCTGTGTTCAAAACCTATTCGGGGAGCATCACCCGGCTCAAACCGGGCTCTTGTTATATTTATGCTAGAAAATGCAGAAACATAACAATTTAAATCACCATTCCTAGGGCATTGTTCATATTGAATGTCTTTAATAATAAAAAAAACAGGTACAGTCATACTGGTTATATTTTAAATAAGGGGACATATTATACATGTAAATATGTGATGCTTCAAACTGAGGAGGGATATCAATGTTAAAATTATTGCCCGTGATGAGAGCACAGCTTTTAAATATAATTTATAGCTAATAATCATGAAACACATATTGTATAAATATGTTTTTTTTTTTGCACAAAATTTTACATTCATTTAGTTCTTAATATGCAAATGATTCTTTTTACACTGTAAATGTGATATATTATCGGATTGTATAACAAAATAAATATTGTATTTCACAGCTCCACTGCCTCCTAGAGATCTGACAGTGGTTGCCATAGATATCCAGAAACTGAACATCACATGGGAGACAGTGACAGATAGTATACAGGTATTAAAATATCGTTATATTACATCACCAAGGAAACGCTGATAGTGTCTCGTGAAATTATATATATATCTATAACAATATCATATTCCTTATTTGTCTAGTATAGACTTGTTATTGAGTCTAGAAGCTTAGAAAGTTTTAGATAGCAATGTCCTCATGTACATTATAGTTATTAAGTTATATTTTTATTTACGCTTAGAAAAAAGGTGTATATTGTAATGCACCTAGTCATAAGTAAGTCTGTCTGTCCATCTATTAGCAATTTCCACTCTGTTACCTTTTGAATGGATGGATGGAAATTGAAACTACTTTGCAAGAATGTTAAGCATAATGAGACAATATGCATAGGACAGGCTTAAATTTAACATTCTTAGGTCAATGTCTCACTTTATGTATGAAATATTCCCACAGATAGAAAATTAAAGCTATTTAGCTGGAATGTATACACTAGCAGTTTGTGTAGAAAATATCTTTTAAGAATAAGTTTGTGAACTTTAATTTAATTGTGCGATATTGAACTTTAAACAGATGGAATATAACTATATTTTTCTGTTTAAAAGTTTAACTTTATACATATTGCCAAAACTTGTACCAGGCATTGTTCCCCTTCAAATAGGAATAATCTTTTTTTTTGTTTGCTAATGTAATGGTTGCAAATTTTTTTATAATAATATTGCAGCATTATTTAAGTATCTGTTGATATAGATGTATGTATATGTAAATTTTTAAGACAGCATGCCTCCAGATTCATGCGTAAATTTTCATGAAAATTCTTATAATGAATTAAGAAGTAAAATATTGTCAGGTGAACAAAGGAAGTAATTTAAATATTGCAAACAGCACTTGAAATCCACAAAAACTACCAAAAATAGATCAGAATATGGAAAAATAGCCCTTACTTTGTTAGTCACTTGGTATAAATATGGTGATACATACTGCAAAATCAGTCATTAGTTGCATACAACATGTTACTTATTTCTTGAATTGTGAATACTTATACTTTTAAAAAAATCTCTGTATATTTATCTCATTGTTTATACTCTAAATACTTTTGCTCATCTGGAGGCATGTAGCTTTAAAACTTTGGAATCATAGTTGCATTAACAGTAGCTGCATTTAACTGTCCTATCTTTACCACTGTGCAGACTGACAATCATCTATTCTAACGGCAGCTGAATTTAAGCATTTTGATATAACCCCCCCCCTTTACATTTACAATGGACAGTTCCAGATTCAAAGCAGGGCAAATCCATTATTCAAATTAAGCACAGTCAGGATTAATATTCCAGTAAGCTTTTTACATAGTTACAGGAGTGTATCTGATGGAAACAAGAGATAGAAAATAAAAGTCTGTCAACTGTTATAGCGTATTGTTTTTTTTTCTGGTTTATGTTAATTCTGTCAAACAATAAAGGAGAATAAGATAGAATTTCATCTCATGTATACATTACTAATGATATCATCTTCATACAACTATAGTTAGTCAATAGTGAAAATACTTAGTAGATTAAAACAATGTTTATTGTTAAAAGCAATTTACATCAAAGTGTTTAGCATATAGTGATAGTAAAAATGGTTTTTATACTACACAGTTTTTGTCATTTAGGCTTAATTCATTCTCCTATACTGTTAACAGATAGTGAATATTTTAATAAGTGATAATTGCTATCTATTCATCAAACTCATTAATGTTTTATTTGTCCACTTTATATGATTATATTGAACTGGATATACCTTACATTTGATTCTGAACAGGCAGTTGTAATTATAACAGGATTTTTATATCAAAATACAATGTCATGTACTTACTGGTAATATACTTAGTAGCCAGAATTAGGTCTAGTCTATATCTTGTCGCCAGAAAGTAAAGAGTCTGGTCAATATCATGTAGCCAGAAATATAGAGTCTTGTCAATATCATGTAGCCAGAAGTATAGAGTCTGGTAAATATCATGTAGACAGAAGTATAGAGTCTGGTCAATATCATGTAGACAGAAGTATAGAGTCTGGTCAATATCATGTAGCCAGAAGTATAGAGTCTGGTAAATATCATGTAGACAGAAGTATAGAGCCTGGTCAATATCATGTAGACAGAAGTATAGAGTCTGGTCAATATCATGTAGACAGAAATATAGAGTCTGGTCAATATCATGTAGCCAGAAGTTAAAAGTCTGTTAAAAATTTGTAGCCAGAAATATGAATTCTTGTCAATATCTTGAAGCCAGAAGTATATAGAGTCTGGTCAAAATCATGTAGACAGAAGTTAAAGTCTGGTTGCTGAAGTTGCTGACATGGATTGCCTCTCACATCTGTAAAGAACTCCAGACAGCTTACATATGGCTGATGGTTCTACTCAGCTGCTGAATCAGGCCTGGAATAAAGCAAAATGATATCAACCAGAAAAGCTGGAAAATTGCCATATGACATAAAAAAGAGCCATTTATGTCCAAAAGTTAAACAAGTAAAGGGAAATCTTGACACTTTTGTGGAGTTTGAAAGAGATGAAAATTGGAATTTTTTTTATTGGAAACAGGCATTGTTAGGCTTCTATTTTATGTAAAGAAAAAAAATCACTGTTTCATAAAAATAAAACATTTTTGTTACAGGACAGTTTTATGTTAAGCTACACATATAACTCCACCAATGGAAACAACCTGAATGAGCTGACTGTGAATGTCACATGCAACACAAGCAGTGAGAAATACTGCGAGCTTTTAATGCCCGGGATCCCGGGCCAGGTGTATGAGATACGTGTGTATAGTAAACTGAACGAAGCTGTTAGTGATGCCGCAATGACAATGCATTCAACAAGTAAGTTGATTAAAGTTATTTTGCCATTACGTTGCTTGATTTGTTAAGGAATTTAGATGTACTGGGGACTTTTGTGCAAAATTACTATTAATAGAATTTTAAATTAAATTATAGAATAAGAGAATCGTTTCTTAAGATATATGTGTATATTGTATCATATTTTGGAGACTTTACTATTGAAAACATCTCAAGAGTTAAATTGTATACCAATACAGTCATGCACTGAAGTGTAGGTATTAGTTTTTCACACTCACTGTCTGTCCCTAGGGCATGCTCCTTGATTGGATCATTTTTTCTGTGGTTTACTTATTGAGACATAGACAGAGATAGCAATAGAAAAGTCATATTTAAATGCTTGTACATTGGTTATTTTTTTCTGGGGTTTAATATTGTGATGACAGTCATGCCCCTTCGTACAACTCAGATAGCCTCGTATTTCAATGCTCTTTCTATTACATATACACATTTTGTTTACTTAGTGTATGTACATCAAATTATGGCATCTTGGATACTATATTGCCAATGATATCTGATAGAAAATGTTTAGCATTGATATTTAAGTTTCTCTTATCTGAACTTGTTTATTCAGTGTCTGCAGAAGGTATATTTGGAACATAAGGGTTTAACATTTTTTATTTGGACTGTTTATCTGTGTATTGCTCCACCATTATGATTGAAAGACTTCATTAAATTTCATTTATATTAAGTATGTAAGTATATGATTGTACATATATTTTATATCAAAATAAAGGTTTTATCAGTTATAATCTATTGGCGATTTGAAGAGTTATTTGTAATGTATTTACAACAATTATGTTTCATTTCAGTTCCGTTACCAGTGATAGGTCTCGATGAAATCCTTAGTAATGACTCATCTATACATCTGACTTGGACATTACCGGATAATTTAGACTTTGATTTTCGCCATTACATTATACATGTCATGAGCCAGTATGGTTCAATGACATGGGAGTTGACGGGTGACAAGCTGGAGTTACCGTTAACTAATCTACACGCTGGTTCACAGTATAATATAAGCATCATTGTTTCGACTGGATACGAGACTAGTCCAGCCGTGAAGAAAACATTTTATACACGTAAGCTGTCACAATTCTTTAGACTCTTAACTTTGTTGTATGAATCAAGATACTTTGTTTTAATATATTTAAATTATTATTGATTTGGAAGAATACTTATAGCTTATATAAACACCTAACAGGTACATGCCTTGGAACTAAATTTTAACTGGGATCATATGAGGTTACCCAAATAGGGCTTGAACTCCTTGTCCCTGGGTTGAAAGGCAGGCATGTTAACCACCAGTCCACCACCTTTACTTAAGATTGTCTGCAAATTATGGTTTTAAAATTGTATCTAGAGTAGAAAATTTAAGATTTTTGTTGTAAATGTTTTGTAATCAGTTGTTTTAAAAGATAATTATTTAAAAAATTATAAATAATGAATTTACTATTTATCTCTGGTTGCATATAGAAATAACAATTGCTAGTAGCTTGGTAGCTTTTACAGGCTGAATAATTATATGCTTATTCACTTTCAATATTTCAGACCCAGTTCAAGTTGACAGTTTAACTAACAACATATATCAGGACACTAGTACAGATTCCTTCATTGTGTATTGGACCATCAATAGTACTGCCAACTATGATAATTTCATCATTAACATCGACCCGAAACCAGAAAATACTTCATTCCCAATGTAAGTTAAACTAAATTAATATTTTTTCTCTTTTATAATCTACTCCTTTTAAAGTCCACATTAGCTTTTTATATAAATATATTACTATTTAACCAATCAAAAAATAACACAAATATACAATTTTTAATTTTCTTTCAGAATATTTTTCTGAATGATCAATTGCATATCTTTCTGTTTTAAGTGCTCCAGGTGTTTTTTGTAAGGAATACAATTTTTATGTTTTTAGGCTTTTGGACCACAGTGGAGTTCCTTTAAAATCTTGCATTTTCTAGAGTGATTTGTAAATCGTGAGTGATAAACATTGATTGATATTATTTATATCTCACTCATAATTTATGATGTAGAATTTTATCATTATAAAAGAGAAACTACATGTATATATAATTTAATTTCAGTACACTAGCAGCAGACGTATTCAACTACACCTTCACAAATCTTGCACCAGGACGAGGGTACACGGTCTCCTTGGTAACCAAACTTGCATACAAAGAGAGTGAACCTGTCAACAATACCTTTAGAACATGTATGTGTTAAATTTAAACATATTTATTTTAGTTTGATAGCGAAACAAGTTCTTGCAACTTACATTAATAACTTTCTAGTCCGCTTCCTGGAACCAACCAGTACTGGTGTCATATGAAGAAACATGGTCATGATCCGAGTAGGGTTCAAAGCCATGGTCTCTGGGGTTTGAGAGGCAGACACCTTAACCACTAGACTACCATATAACGCATCTGTGTGTTTCAATTATAGTTCAAGAAAAAACATTTATTTGAATTGTTATTTCACTTTATTTTGTTCATTGACTTAATGGAATAGCCTGCTTAGAAGTCGGAACTGTTCATTGTCACGCTAAGATGCAAAGAGATATCCCCATAAATATAACTTATAAATACAGAACAGAACTGTTCTAGAATAAATACATGTAAGAAGCCAACACAGCGGAGTCTGGTTAGACTATACAAACATCCAGCTAGGATGGGCTGGTTCAATACTGGTTGTACATTTGTATAGGCAATTTCTTTATCACTGCCAAAATTTGTAGTTTTAACTAGGTTATAATATTAATATAAAATTTATATAAGCAACAATTGTCTTGTGACTGTGTTCTTTATGGTTTTCAACCCAGTTTGGCTGGGACACACTAAGTTGAATCAAAGACAGCCAGAACTATAGAGCCATAGTTTCCCTAAATATGATGGGTTCTTCCTTAATGGCCTTGTACAGTATTGAAAGTTTTCTTTAAAGTTCATAACTAAACAATTAACTACCCTAAAGGTTGCGGGTTCTACATTAATAATCTGTACAGTATAGAAAGTTTTCTTTAAAGTTCATAACTAAACAATTAACTTTCCTAATGCGTAATCTTTTCATGTGATTAAGACAGATTATGGTTCTATTTATAAATGTTGCTTTACTATAAATGTTTTCCCCATATTCAATATTACAGTACCAAATAAACCTACTGATGCAAGTGTGCAAGTTGTAAGTGGGTCAGAGGTCAAAGTTGACTGGAAGGCAGCATTTGGTAATCTGGATGGCTACCGTCTGACCTTGACATATGATGTGGATTCAAAAGTTGTAGAACTGACTGACAAAACATTGAGTTACACATTTTATGGACTGGTTCCAGGAACTCAGTATGTTCTAAAAATTGAGTCACAGTCTGCAGGAATGTACAGTGAACCAATCACATCAACTTTTACAACAAGTAAGTCCTGAACTTCTGTTATACATGTACTAGTATATGACTTTTAAATAATTTTGATTCTTTTTAAGTAATGGATATGGGTCAAACTTATTTATTTCAAATTTTTGAAAGGATGATTGACAATGACCAAGGTAGCTAAATTGTTCAAGTTGTTATTGAATCCTCACTAAAAGCTCCTTATTTCAACATATCAGTTGATTGTTTTTTTTCGTCATCACACTCATTGAGTTTTTACTTGCAAGTTGATATATCCAAAACTTTTGAAGGGGATGGGTTGAAACTTCACACACTTGTTCTCTTTGATATCTTGCATGATTATCACTGGCCCTATAGTTTTATGTTACCTGACATGGGCCTTATTTACTGTCAAGCACTTAGAATAGCAGATCACACTGTCTGTAAATCAGATTGATAAAACATATCATGTCACTGGACTTTCGAATATTATTTTTCCTCATTGACCTGTAAATGACCTTGACCTTCAAGGTCAGATTTTAGAAACATTCACCATACCATTGCTATAATAACAGATATGGGATGGGAGCGGAGAACATTTGCAATTTATGAATATTTCTTCTAATTAGGTGTCTTGATTACTTATAAGAAACTTATAACAGGAGTGTGTTACATGTACAAATTTAAATGAAATAATAAGATATCACCAAACTACCTATATATAAAGGCTGTAATATTTAATGCATACACTTAAAATAGCCAAATTAAGGTCATGATTATTTATAAAATGACCAGTGTAGATGTTGAAAAAGTGCTTTCATATGGATGGGTATTTATGCAACAGGTATATTTGTCCTTGACCTAGTTAAAATAATTGTGTCAGGGCATAAATAAATACACCATATACAGGTGTGGTATATGGTTGATATTGAATATGTTTGAATTTGATAAGATTTCAATAGCGACATGGTTTTTTAGTAAACATCATTTCTTTTTTTCCACTTTTCATACGTAACAAGTTCTCTAACTAACAAACATTTGGTGCTCAGATTTTAACATGATATTACAGGAAATGGATCTTTTCTTTCTCATATCTAACTTTGAAACTTTTAAATTCTGTAGACGTTGAAGGTAAGATGTGGTATTGGACACTGTATAACCATATACTCTCTGTTCTTTGTTTCTATATTTAGAATTTGTTTCTATATTTAGAATTTTACTGTTATTTTGTTCTATATTTAGAACAGTTTAATCCAACAATCAGGAAATCTCATGCATTAGAGCTTGCTTTTTGATTTTTAAGGCTTGGGTAATGGGTGTTTTATTTACTATTTTGTTTGTTTCAATAATGTACATGTACTTGAATAAATATGGAAGGATATACTGTTTGTTAATAATTTAGCTTGGAACATGTGGAAAGGGATGGTAGATTAAAAATAGTTTACACAAGAAAAAAAGAAGAATATTTTATCAACAAAATATCTCAAATCATTGCATGCTAGGAAAATAAAAACAGATTAAGATATATATGTATGTCTTGGAATTCAATATAGATTTAAAGGCGCATTATAAGTGATAGGAAAACAAGGCCATTTTTTACTAAACTTAAATGCACAGTGTTTTATCCTATACTTAAAAACAGAAAAACTAGTTTAGTAAAAAAGCAAGTTTTCTAGGAAGAAATTAGATGTAGAAATAGAGACTTGGGTAGCTGATCTTTTTTATTAAAATAGTACATTTAGCAGATTATTTAACTGAGCCTTATCAAAAATTGCATAGTGCATATTTGGGGAAAAAAAACACACCAAAAAACATCATATTATGATACATCTACTGATTATACCATAGGTGAGCAAGGAATCTGTTCTTTTTTTAGCCAGAGCTTTTATTTTTTGCCAGCTATAAATAATAGCCGATGCTATTTTTAGCCTAACAGACTATTCAAAGAATAGGGGGAGCTTACTTGCACTCACCTCAGCGTTAGCATCACACTTTGAATAATTTTTTGCATGGTCACAAAGTTTGTGTCTCCATCACTGCTGAAGGGAATGGGTCAAATTTCATACACTTATTTGAAAACGTAACAAGAGGTCACTGTCCAAGGCCCATAACACTTACATGGGTTTTGACAGAATTATAGACATTTTTAAAATAAGAAAATTCCATGTTTCCAGTCTCTTGTTTTACTATCATTATAGTACTGAGAATAGTGAGCTCACTGTCCTTCGGACAGCCGTTGTTAGAACTTACAACTAGATTATTTTCTTTCTTTCTTCTATTATACAGTATAGGCTATAATGTAGATATGCTAGTAAAAAACATCATACAATAATTTTACTTGGATTCTTTAGTTTTTTCTTTCACCAGTAGATAATGAATTATGTCATTTAAAGCCACAACAAAAATGATACAATGTTCTGGTAAATCTCTAATCCTGGTTTTCACTATATGAGTGTTTGTTGCAAAAAGGTTGTAACTCATATCACATAAAGAAAGAGATACAATAATTTGCATCAAGACATGTATTAAAATACAATGAAATCAAATTGTTTATTTAAACTGTCAACATTTTGTTTTAAAAAAAGCATTTAAAAGTCGAATCATGCTAATACAGCTAAACACAGCACATGCTTAAGTTTAGTTTTAAAGCTAAGAATGTTTTTTTTTTACTTAGTGTTTCTAATTGTTACTTAGTAACTATCTCTAATGTTTATTTTTGTTTAATCAGAACCTTATTTGTGCAATAAGCTTGTGGAGGCTGGCCTTATGTTCCTGCTCATACATTATTGAAATAAATTAAAATGCTTACAATCAAGATGTGCAGCATTTTTAAATCATGCAGAATATGACTTAATCCTTTTATTTTCTCTTAAACCTGTCCATACCTTATTTTATATAATGGGTGTATCTTGCTCTGGGTTTGTAAATGCCAATTATAATTTTAAGGCAAACTTATTCTTATAATTTAAAAGTCCCAATATTTTGAAATTAATTTTTCACAGTTAAGGCTATGAACATAATGCAGTACAATTCTTTATAAATGTAGTAAGTTATTCATGAAATTAATATAAATGATAAACCAGTAGTAATTTTTCAACCTATGCACTTATTATGATTACTAGTACAATGTAAATAATGCCAAAGAAAATATAAACACGTATTAAATGTATATTACTCAGATGGAAAGTGATAATTACAATGTCATATTTAAGCATGAAAGTTGTTTTTTTTATGCATGTTTGGTTATTTAAGATAAGCTATACAAAATGCTATGCTAATTTATCAATTGAAATTAAGTTATTCAAGATCAGGCCTGGTATGCATGTGAACAATGTCTTGTGTTTTAACGGAACTCCACTGAGGTTCAAAAGCCAAATATTATAAAATTTGAATTTCTGACATAGATTAAGTCTGGGGCAATTGAAACAAATATAATAAAGAAGTATACTCCGCAATAAATTGAAAATCATATTTTCATGCTATTAGCACGCTAAGAGAGAAAGCTTTATAATGCTTTACAGTTTTCGGTCATTTTTCACAAATAGAATACTAGAAAAACAAACTAAGCAATCTGAAAGTTATTGGTCACAAGGACATTTAAATTATTATTTCCGGTCCCATAATGTCAAAAACCCACAGTGGAGTCCCTTTAATGTTTAAAGAGCAAGTTAATGTGTCTTAGTGGTTAAAGTTGCAGACGTCCATTCACTTGCTCAACACATTCACCTGCTCACCACACTATCGCGGGTTTGAATCCTGCTAGTTATGTTGAGGTTGTTTACATGTATGTCTGTGTCACAGCTGTGTGATTTAAAAGTGTACTGAACATTGAAAGTAAAACTGATGTATCTTCTTTTACAAGAAATACACAAGGAGGGGCAGGGGATGTAAGGTCTTGCTTCATTGGTAAAGTCTGAAGAATAGCAATATAATAATAAGGATAAGCTTAAACAACACTAATGAAAGTGATATAATAGACCATTATGTAGCAGATCATTATGACATTCAGAGCCCCTTAGTTACACAATGTGCCCATAAGGGTTTTTGAGCAAATAAGACTTGTTCTGAATGATCGAGTGGTTATAAATGCATGGTTCTTTCAATTTTCACTCAAATTTCAAGTTTTGGTGAAAACATTACATAATGTAATTAAGTTTTATGAACAAACCATAATCTTTGAAACAAATTAAATGTTCTGATTTTTTTTCATAAGTTTTACAGATACAGGACTGGTAGGAATTCATAATTTTAGAGTCATTAATTCATTAATATACTTAAAATTGACTTTTATTATTTGAATATTTTTAGATCCGTCCGCTGTTAGTGGTCTACGTGCAAGTATGGTGAACAGTGATTCGGTGACAATTGTATGGGACGCGCCCACAAACACTTCATTTGATACCTATGAGATTACAGTTGATCCAGCCCATGTGACCTCACCTATTATTCTTAACAGGTAATTGCTTTTAAGTTTTTTATGAGTAAATTATGATATAGTTATATGTATATTTAATTATTTTATTTATAATTATTTGTTATTTTGTAATGTATCATCGAAAGAATTAGAAACTGATGATAGTTCCAGTGGTTTTGTAAAACTAAGCTATTCTTTTAGTTATTTTTTTCAAATTTTCCCTAAAATGATGAATGGCTTTGTCCAGATTGAAACATTGAAAAGTCCATTTAAGATATTTAGTGTGGTAAAGATTATTTATGCAGCAGTGAAAAAGATTAAATGTAAATTTGCCGATAATCTGTTGTTGATATCTAATGAATTACTTAAATGTATAAGTGTATGCCACAATGCCGATGACAAGTTGTATTTTTGTGTTTGTTTCAGTAACATTACAGATATGTCATATAAGATATCTGGCTTGACCCCTGGTCAATTTTACACTATCTCTATGGTGACAGTATCCAGTGGTGTATACAGTGAAAGGCTGACCACTACAGTTATCACAGGTAACCCTATGTTTAACATAGCATTTTATTTTATTAATTTATATTTACACATTATAGAGTGTAAGCAAGCTTTGCATATGTGGAGACCAGGAAAGGCTGTATGATAAATTACCTAGTTGTTTCTAGGTTAATCGCTCATTCCCATTCTATTAACACTAGGAAAAAATATATAAAGAAGTAGTGAAGAACAACACATCAAAATCTGGGGATGTTTTTTTAAATTTATTTATATATACCGGTTTCAGGAATCTTGTTCTCTTCTTCAGGTTTATATTAGTGATGTTTATTTTATAGGCCCATTACCAGTGATGGATCTGATGGTAGAGCCACATGGTGCTGGTCTGAAGGTTTCCTGGAAAATTCAAAGTACAAGTAAACAGTCAGGATTCATAGTATGTATAATATATTGGTAGTTTAAACATTGGGTTTTGTTCGGTTTAACATCACACTTACACTGTTACTTAACACCATTACTGGTGGTGGAAGACCTCAGATTCCCCTCTGTGCATTATTTCAGGCACAAAACCAGTACATGAGTAGTACCAGCAACATTCCTTAAGCTAGCTGGATAACTTCCTCACATTAAAGAATCCAATGTCTTTGGTTGGATACTAACCCACATCAGTGAGGGGAAAGTAGTTTGAAGTCAGCAACCTTAACCACTAAGCCAGAGAGGCTCCTCAGTTTAAAGATGTAGAGTTCAATGATAGTGAATTTATAAAAAGAAAATTTCCTACCGATCTTACTTTCTTGATTTGTGTAATGGATTTGCCCTGTTTTTGAATTTGAAACTGTCCATTTCAAGATTAAGGGATTTTAATATCCAACTGCAAACGTTTAGATATACAGATATGTCCAGTCTGGCCTGGCTTTATACTGGTGGCAAAGGCTAAACACTTGTGATTCCAGCACACACAGTAAGGGTAAAAATTCTTTATTTATCTGCCCATTTATCTACCTTTTTTTTTAAGTGACAATTTCATGGGGGAAAAATCTTGAAAAATAGATATGTTATATTCCTGCTTGTATTAAAGGTCACTTACCAAGAGATGCCTGCTGGTGTACCAGTCCAGTTACCAGTTGTAGAGTCAGTGGAGAACCAGTCTGATTATAGTGTCACAACTCCTGACCTTTTCCCAGGGGGCACATACAAGGTCAAAGTTCAGGCGTGGCAGAATGTTTCAGGGGAGAGTGCAGGTTCACCACTACAAGAAATTAATGGCACTACAAGTATGTGATTTTTGAATTTTTTAAATTCTAATGTGAAGTATAGTATGCTTAAATTAGTCTAACTGTAATGCTTTCCTGCCTAAATTTCTAACATTGGCCAATGTCGTAGCGAATTGGTTATTTCCAGAACGTATTTTTGGGGCATAAGATTATTAACAACTACTAATCATTTATCGCTTTGTACATAATACTGGTTACAAACGATGAAAAATTATTGAATACCGATGATTACGAAAAATAATGTTCCAGAAATGACCGATTTATTACGATATTGGCTGATGTTTTGGCTGGGAAAGCATTACAGTAAGACTACCTTAAGTACATTGTATGTCACTAGTATAGACCTAGTATGCAAGTCTGTTATCCTTACAGTCATATTGAATACATTGTAATTTACTGACATTTGTTATTATATAAGTAATAGCATTTTGATACTAAATTGCTTTCACTTTGAATTAAAGTGACATGTAGCTCATTTTTTCAAGTTTATTTGAAATTGCACGATTTTTCACACAAATGACTATCGTAATTATGATTGATCAATTATTGATATTCACTATTCAGTCAGTACATATTATGGACAAGTCCATTTCAGATACAGGTATTTTAAAGCATGGTTAGGGTAAAGATATCAGTGCAATTGTTTGTCATGGACCAATAATTCATTAATTTAATATGTTTCTTTGACTTGTTCACACAGCCAGCAAACATACAGCATGTTCTGTTTAGAATTTTATAATTATTGTCATGGTTTATATATATATTGCCTTCTTAAAGTTGTAATTTTTATTTACAGAACCAAAGGCTGTTGAAAATATAACTGCCACAATTCTTGGTACTGATGTAATAGATTTAGACTGGTCTGCCCCTTCTGAGAGCATACACAGTCACTATGTTGTGAAACATAGACCCAGTCTGAGAAACCCAAATGTATTATGGGTAGAGAATTCGACCTTGAGCACTAACTTGACCTTGCCAGATTTAATGCCAGGAGAGAGATATGAGATTGAGGTGTACGCGGTGTCGGACTCAGTCAGGAGTAATGTCAGGATTGTACATGTCACAGTTCGTAAGTGTTATATTTTTTAGCTCGACTGTTTGCATTTTGAGAATAAAGAGCACTATTCTACATGTGCTTGTATGGGCATTGTTTTTTGTTTGTTTGTTTATTTGGTTTGTTTTTTTTTTGGGAGGGAGGGGGAGGTAAGTTTAAGTTTAAGTTTTAATAAAAATTTTGTGTACAATTAGTGTAAAAGTTATATCAGTGCATAGAATGGATTCAAACTTAAGACACACGTTTCTAAGGGACAGATCTACTGACATAACTAGTCTACATAGAGTTAAAACAAGTTATATAGATATTTCAAGATATAGAAATTTTAATTGTTTTGAAAAGTTTATTCTGTCGTATATTGAATGAAGATTGAGAAATGTATTATATTTTAGCACCACTTCCCCCACCGTCGGTCACAGTTTTAACAGAGAACACATCAACAACCTCCGTCACCCTACAATGGCTGTACAAAACAAGCGTCACCTATGTTGAAAACTGGGTCATCAGTTACTTTGACAACACAGGAATCAAAGTGAATCAGACGGTTCCTCGTCCAGCTACAGCAAAAATAGTCGAAGCTACAGTAGATGGATTGGTACCAGGCTTCAAATATGACATGGCTGTGCAAGCAGTTGTCCAGGAGAAAACCTCAAGCCCGGTCTCTACACCTGCTGTAACCAGTAAGCTAAACACAAAATTTTATTTTTAGTCTCGCATGTCAAGGCCACTGATACATGGCAGGTCAGAGGTCATGATACTCCATAGGTCAAAGTTCAAAAATCTGTGGTAACAGAAAAATTATAAAGAGAAGATTTTACTGCAAAAAAATATGATTGTTTTAATCTCATCTTTGATCTAAAAGAAGTTTTTGTAATAATTCCTATATGGCTATAGATAAATTGTTTACAAAGAGTGTGAAGTTTTTTTCCCATGTTGCCTGGCAACCAGTAGGTTACAAATCTCTAACCTGTGTCATATCAGCCTTGTATTGTAATACTGTTTCTATTCATTATATTTCTGCTTAATAATTGGTGGTCCATAGATGATATCTATTATAGTTTTTATTACAGTGTTAAATGTATTATGTTTTAACAGTCACATATTTTCTTTGCACATCCAGTGGTAGGGATTGAGGTGGGGTAGGGGTACATTCATACATACAAATCTAGAAAAAAAAACATGTCATATTTTCTTTCTTTATTTCAGAACCAGTAAACAACATTGCTATTAAGTTTGAGACCATCCCAACAAACTCATCATTTATCATCTCCTACGAAGAAATTTCCAATGATTATTTTGATGAAATAGTTTTCACTGTTTTGAATGATGTACACCGTAAACCAAAGGCTGCTGATAACAAGCAGGTAGAGTTTACCTCCCTTGATGCAGGTACTCTCTACACTGTGAAAGTACAAACAGTGAGTGGAGGGGAGAAAAGTGAGATTAAATCACTGCAGGCACAAACATGTGAGTTTACAGTTGTTGGAATTTTGGAAATTTGTTAGATTTGTCACAAAATTATCTTTCTAAGTCTTTTAGTTGGACTAAACAAACCAATGTTACATTCATAAAATTCAGCTATTTTTTTGTTAACATCTTCACTTAAGAAACTTGATTAAATCATGTTATGTATAGATTAATAATTTTATATTAGATTTTTTAAAATTTTACTGTAAACAAGTGTCAAGATATATTTCTAAGCCAATTTATATAAATAAAATGCAATGTTATTTTTAAAGTCAACTGTAAAAAAAATTTGGACTGAGAAATACAGTTGACTGATGCAAAGTGTGTTTCCTTTTTTTTCCGTAATTCTTAATTGTACTAATATGTTACTTATTGATGTTTTTTAATTGATTAAATTTTTGTATTACATTAGAATAATGTTTTATTTCAGTGCCAAATGCACCCATTGTCTCTGTTACTCCTTTGGCGAGCAGTATGGACTTGACCATTACTCGACCAAGTGGAGGTGTGGATAAATACAGGATCGAATGTTTTAATCCGAGTAACGTGAAGGTGAAGGATGAAACTGTGGATGTGACACAAGATGTCATGACACTGACGATAGACAATCTCATGCCATATACAACATATAACTGTAAATGGACATCCCTGTTTTCACTGTATCAGAACTATGTCAGTGTATCTGTTGATACACAAGAAGGAGGTAAAAAACCAACAATTGTACTTTTAAGTTAAAGTTTTTATGCCCCCGGGCATATAGTAATTGAACCGTCCGTCTGTCCGTCAATCCGTCTGTCCGTACGAGGTTAACCTAGAACAGCAAGTTGGATTTTTTAGCTCACCTGTCACAAAGTGACAGGGTGAGCTTTTGTGATCGCTTTTCGTCCGGCGTCCGTCCGTCCGTCCGTCCGTCGTCCGTCCATCGTCCGTCCGTAAACTTTTGCTTTAAATGACATCTCCTCATAAACCACTGAGCCAATTTCATCCAAACTTCACAGGAATGTTCCTTTGGTGGTCACCTTTAAAAATTGTTCAAAGAATTTAATTCCATGCAGAACTCTGGTTGCCATGGCAACCGAAAGAAAAATCTTTAAATATCTTCTTTTAAACAACCCTAAGAGCTAGAGCTTAGATATTTGGCATGAAACATCTTCTAATGAGTGTCTACCAAGTTTGTTCAAATAAAAGCCCTGGGTCAAAATTGGCCCGCCCCCGGGGTCATTGATTTTCCCTATATGCATATAGTAAAAACTTAAAAGATCTTCTTTTAAAGAACTGTAAGAGCTAGAGCTAAGATTTTTGGCATGGAACATCTTCTAGTGAGTGTCTACCAAGTTTGTTCAAAAATAAAAGCCCTGGGGTCAAAATTGGCCCCGCCCCGGGGGTCATTGATTTTCCCTATATGCATATAGTAAACACTTAAAAAATCTTCCTTTAAAGAACTGTAAGAGCTAGAGCTTAGATATTTGGCATGAAACATCTTCTAGTGAATGTCTACCAAGTTTGTTCAAATAAAAGCCCTGGGGTCAAAATTGGCCCCGCCCCAGGGGTCATTGATTTTCCCTATATGCATAAAGTAAAAACTTAAAAAAATCTTCTTTTAAAGAACCCAAAGAGCTAGAGCTTAGATATTTGGCATGAAACATCTTCTAGTGAATGTCTACCAAGTTTGTTCAAATAAAAGCCCTGGGGTCAAAATTGGCCCCGCCCTGGGGGGTAATTGATTTTCCCTATATGCATATAGTTTAAACTTAAAAAATCTTTTTTTAAAGAACCGTAAGAGCTAGAGCTTAGATATTTGGCATAAAACATCTTCTAGTAAATGTCTACCAAGTTTGTTCAAATAAAAGCCCTGGGGTCAAAATTGGCCCCGCCCCAGGGGGTCATTGATTTTCCCTATATGCATATAGTAAAAACTTAAAAAAATCTTCTTTTAAAGAACTGTAAGAGCTAAAGCTTATATATTTGGCATGAAACATCTTCTAGTGAATGTCTACCAAGTTTGTTTCAAATAAAACCCCTGGGGTCCAAATTGGCCCCTCCCCAGGGGTCATTGATTTTCCTTATATGCATATAGTAAAAACTTAAAGATCTTCTTTTAAAGAACCCAAAGAGCTAGAGCTAAGATATTTAGCATGAGACATGTTCTAATGGGTGTCTACCAAGTATGTTCAAATAAAAGCCCTGGGGTCAAAACTGGCCCCGCCCCGGGGGGTCATTGATTTTCCTTATATACATAACAAAAACTTAAAAATCTTCTTTGAAAAAACCCAAATAACTAGAGTTTAGATATTAAGCATGAAACATCTTTAAGTAAATATCTACAAAGTTTGTTCAAATAAAAGCCCAGGGGTCAAAACTGGCCCTGCCCGAGGGGTGTCATTGTTTTTTACTCTATGTGTATAGTAAAAACTTAAAAAATCTTCTTTTAAAAAACCCAATGAGCTAGAACTTAGATGTTTTGCATGAAACATCTTCTTATGGGTGTCTACCAAGTCTGTTCAAATAAACAAATAAAAGCCCATGGGTAAAAATTGGGCCGGGGGGGGGGCTATATACAGGTGAGCGACCTCAGGGCCATCATGGCCCTCTTGTCTTAAGTTCTACCTGTACCAATGGCTTCTAAGTTTACACACTTACTAATCAATACAAAGTACATGATCTGGGCAAGTTACATAACTCTGGCTTTCATATTTACCAAGTTATTGCCCTTTTCAGCACTTAGAAAATGAATAGTGGTTAACCTAAAACGGCAAGTTGGAAATATCTTAAGTTCTATCTATACTAATGGCTTTATAATTTCCACACTTACTTATCAATACAGTATACATGATATTGCCAAGTTATATAATTGTGGCATCCATATTTCCAAGTTATTTCCCTTTTTTCACTTTGAAAATAGGGCCTTGTCTGGTTAACCTATTTCGGCAAGTTGGATTTATCTTAAATTTCTCCTAATTGCTTAATTTCTTTGATGATATCTTTCATATTTAGTAGGTGGATACCTTTGATGGTCCTCTAATTTTTTGTGGAGTAAGTGGTCTCTAGGGTCAAGGTCAAGGTCACTGGTTTAAAAAATATATATAAACATTTTTGCTCATACAGCCTTTACTTTTTAGTTGATGTCTTAGTTTAATACAAACATGCCAAGGGAGGTCCTCCTCCTTTGAGTGTAGTAAGGGGTCATTTGGGTCAAGGTCAATGTTACCAATGTCAAGGTCACCAATGTTAAAAATAGATTTTTACATTTTTACAGGTGTATTGACCTTATTCTATAGACAGATGTTATTTATAATTGATAGAAACATAAACTTTGATGGAGTTAGTGGTCAGTTGGGTCAAGGTCACCAGTGCTAAAAATAGATGTTTACACATTTGCTCATACAACCATTATTTATTGACAGATATATTTCATATTTGGTAGGAAGATAACTTGCATGGTATTCATCCTTTTGATTGGGGTAGGGATCAGTGGGTCAAGGTCACTTGTGCTAAAAATAGATTTTTACACTTTTGCCCATACAGCTTTTATTTATTGACAGATGTATTTCATATTTGGTAGGGAGATAACTTGCATAGTATTCTTCCTTTGGATGGTGTAAGGGGTCAGTTTGGTCAAGGTCACCAGTGCTAAAAATAGATTTTTACACTTTTGCCCATACAGCCTTTATTTATTGACAGATGTACATGTATTTCATATTTGGTAGGAAGATATCTTACATTGTATTCTTCTTTTGGATAAAGTTAGGGGTCAGTTTGGTCAAGGTCACCAGTGCTCAAAATAGATTTTTACACTTTTGCCCATACAGCCTTTATTTAATGACAGATGTATTTCATATTTGGTAGGAAGATAACTTGCATGAAGTTGAATATTTTTCAACTTCACAAGTCAGAGCAATGACTTGGCAACTTACATTTTCACAATTACAAAATGCCATGACTTTGTCAAGCTATATAAATTGTGTTTAAAATTTTTTGGCAATTTTTCTGTCCATAACTGAGTGAATGGGTAAACATTTTTTGAAATATTGCTACTGACAAGAATCAGAGCCGGGGGCATTTGTGTTTAACAAACACGTTCTTGTTTTTATCTCTTTTCACAGTGAATAGTCTATAAAATGTCATAAATGAGGTACTTGGTGAAGTATATAAAAATATAAATATGAAACATATTAAAATGTATTTAGTCATAGTCAGGTCTAAATCAGTAAAACCTGGTGTAAAGTTTAACAGTTATATGAAAGATGGTGATTTATGCTTATTTGTTTGTTTATACTTTAAGTAAGATCTTGTGCTGATTGATTTGTTATATGTATGTATGTAAGCCTGTGCAGGGGCGTTTGGGCCGAGTGGTTAAGGTCGTTGACTTCAAATCACTTGCCCCTCACTGCTGTGGGTTCGAATCCCGACAGGGACTTTGGATTCTTTCATGTGAGGAAGCTATCCAGCTAGCTTATGGAACGTCGGTAGTTCTACACAGGTGCTGGTTCGTGCCTGAAATAATGATTGGAAGACCTGAGGTCTTCCTCCACCAATAAAGCTGGAACATCGCAATATGACTTATACTGTGTTGATGTGACGTAAAACCAAACAAAAATAAAGCCTGTGCATAATAATGTTAATTTTGGTTTATAAGATAAATCCTTTAAGTGTACAATTGATACAATACTGCCGAAATGCTTGTATGAAATAAATATGGTAATTAATTGCCTAAAGTCGAGTGGCTTAAGCACAAGATCATTGCTAAACATATAAAACCCTATTTAAAATAGCAAAAATAATATTTTGTTCTGGAACATTTTATTCTGTTTATGTACATAATTCATGTGTGTTAAATAACAGAGACATTCTATGTTACAACTTTTTCAGGAATCAGCCATATAATAATGAAAACAATATAATTTTGCTGTTAATAGATTTAATAAAAATATTTCATAAGATACAGAGCTATAGCCTTTAATATACAGATTCATAGATTTTTACTGTATCTGTCATAATAATTTGAATCAGAAACATTATACACTCAAATATTTGATAAATTTCATTCTTCAAGTATATTATATCTTTCATTTTTCGATTACAACCCACCCTTACGAAATTCACTTATAAGTCACTTATAGGCTATTTTATATGTAGATTATACTTCACTTAGTCAATTTACCTATAAGTCAAGTATATGTATTTTAAATGCAAATTAGATGTAAGTGCAGTATATGTCTGGCATTTTGACATATAAATGAAGTATAAGTTATATATAAGTCACATATATGTGACATGTAAGTCAAAGATATGCTCAACTTATAAGTAACATATAAGTGTCTTATATGTTACATATAAGTGACTTATATGTTACATATAAGTGACTTAATATAAGTCACTTATAAGTAACATATAGGTCACATGTAAGTCACATATATGTTGCTTGATGTCAAAAAAGCTAAAAAAGAAAATAAAAGTTTAGTTATTTAATTTCAAAAATGTTTATTAATTTATATTCTTAGTCATATAAATGAGCAAAATACAAAATTCAACATACATATCCTTCAGTTTATTACACAGAATAGATCAGCTTACATTCACTATAACAAAAACAATTTTATTTCTAGCAGCAAGTTTTTGTAGGTACTGGTTTTCTTGGAATCAAACACTTTGTTTTATACAATTATTTTGCTGGAAGTCTGTCAGTGAGGAACTTTTAAAATCATAGATTTGATAAAACATTTCTGATTATTCAAACTACTATTTCCTTTATTGATGTCTGTTTCAGTGCTCTGTTTCTGTTTCCTCGGAGAACTTCATGTGGCTGTGTTCACCTTTAAAGATAAAATTCATAATTAATTAAAAAAGATGTGGGAATAAATTGTGTACTATTGTATATGCAATTATATTTCATATTTTTGATATCATCAAACTATATTAACTATTTATGCTTATGCATATACAAATATACTAAGTTACACAGTATCTCAATTTAGTGCACAAGTCACCAGTGTTGTTTAAGAACTACTAAAAGTCTCTACATTAAGAATTGATTAACTTCACTATTTGCAACAACATCTATTATGATTTTTTCTGGGTAAGGTTTAGAACAGTAAGTATAGAGAATAAAAATACCTTTTCAGGCTCAATATACTGCATATCATTATTCACCTGGCATCTCAAAGTAAGAACTGGTCCCACTAGCCTGCAATGTATGTAAAATGTAATATCAGATTTTTCCATTGAAAACAACAATAAAATGATAAATGATTACCCGTCTTATTCAGCTGCATAAAACTATTGACACTAATATAGTATTGATTGTACTATTTAGTCCTAATAATTCAATTCATCTTACAAATTAATTTCACTTTATATTAAATCTAGATTTAAATCAATTAAATGTATTAGTAAATGTATGAAGCTTAGAAATAAAAACAGCCATGATCTCTCAAGTTACAAATTTTAGTTTGCTGCCATCTTACTTTGATTGTTTAATATTTAAACTGTATCTGCATAAATGTAACTCAAAGGTACTTACCTGATTTTGTTGTATATCTTCTTGTCCCAGGTGATTCTTCTTGTCATTCTTATTTACCATAACTATACTTAAACATCTTAAACAAAACAATATCTCTAAAATTCCTAAAACATCAAGTAGATTCTCTGTGATTTCCACCAGCTTGCTAACCAAAATGTTTTAGACTTACAACAGTGTACCTGGGCAGGTCCAATATTATGTAAAACAGGGTAAAACCAAAAATCAAAGCACTCATCATTTCTATCTTACAATCATTGAATGTGAAAAAAATCAAATAACTAAAAGATATGTAAATTTTAAAAATCATTATACATTTTTGAAAAAGAAAATGCAATGTCCTTTTTTTTACAAATTCAGGATAGGAAATGTTATCTTTCCCCAAAATAATCAAATGGAACAGTCTGATTTGTAGGAATGACCAGTCAGAAAATTAGTCATGCACAGATGTGGCAAAGGCAGGTGGCCAGTTTTATCAGACCTCTGATCTGTGTGGTGTAAAAAATCAGTGGATGTAGAAAATATAAGCAATCATCAGGCATATTGGTTCCTTGATTTTATATAAATTAAAAGAGAAATATAAATGAGTTTATTTCAAGCACTGTTTTTTAGCTCACCTGTCACAAAGTGACAGGGTGAGCTTTTGTGATCGCTTTTCGTCCGGCGTCCGTCCGGCGTCCGTCCGTCGTCCGTCCGTAAACTTTTACTTTAAATGACATCTCCTCATAAACCACTAAGCCAATTTCATCCAAACTTCACAGGAATGTTCCTTTGGTGGTCACCTTTAAAAATTGTTCAAAGAATTTAATTCCATGCAGAACTCTGGTTGCCATGGCAACTGAAAGAAAAAACTTTAAATATCTTCTTTTAAAAAACAATAAGAGCTAGAGCTTAGATATTTGGCATGAAACATCTTCTAGTGAGTGTCTACCAAGTTTGTTCAAATAAAAGCCCTGGGGTTAAAATTGGCCCCGCCCCGGGGGGTCATTGATTTTCCCTATATGCATATAGTAAAAACTTAAAAAATCTTCTTTTAAAGAACTCAAAGAGCTATGGCTAAGATATTGAGTATCAAACATGTTCTAATAGGTGTCTACCAAGTTTGTTCAAATAAAAGCCCTGGGGTCAAAATTGGCCCCGCACCAGGGGGTCATTGATTTTCCCTATATGCATATAGTAAAAACTTAAAAAATCTTCTTTTAAAGAACCAAAAGAGTTAGAGCTAAGATATTTAGCATAAAACATGTTCTATTAAGTGTCTACCAAGTTTGTTCAAATAAAAGCCCTGGGGTCAAAATTGGCCCCGCCCCGGGGGGGTCATTGATTTTCCCTATATGCATATAGTAAAAACTTAAAAAATCTTCTTTTAAAGAACTCAAAGAGCTATGGCTAAGATATTTAGCATCAAACATGTTCTAATAGGTGTCTACCAAGTTTGTTCAAATAAAAGCCCTGGGGTCAAAATTGGCACCGCCCCGGGGGTCATTGATTCTCCTTATATGTGTATAGCAAAAACTTAAAAAATCTTCTTTAAAAAAACCCAAATAGCTAGAGTTAAGATATTAAGCATGAAACATTTTTAAGTGAGTGTCTACAAAGTTTGTTCAAATAAAAGTCCTGGGGTCAAAATTGGCCCCGCCCCGGGGGTCATTGATTTTCATTATATGTGTATAGCAAAAACTTAAAATCTTCTTTGAAAAAACCCAAATAGCTAGAGTTTTGATATTAAGCATGAAACATCTTCTAGTAAGTGTCTACAAAGTTTGTTCAAATAAAAGCCCTGGGGTCAAAACTGGCCCAGCCCCAGGGGTGTCATTGTTTTTAAATATATGTGTATAGTAAAAACCTTTAAAAAAATCTTCTTTTAAAAAGCCCAATGAGCTAGAGCTTAGATGTTTAGCATGAAACATCTTCTAGTGAGTGTCTACCAAGTTTGTGCAAATAAAAGTCCTGGGGTTAAATTGGCCCTGCAACGTTGGGGGGGGATGTGGGGGTTGGGGGGGGCTATATACAGGTGAGCGACCTCAGGGCCATCATGGCCCTCTTGTTATTGTTTAAATATCTAAAATACACTAGGCCTAAATGTCTTAAAAATTACACTTGTATATTCAAAAAATACACCTCTTTTTCTTGTTAGAATATCTTACTACAGCAAAATTAGGTCTGTAAGAAGTACAGTAGGTAAAAACATAGATTTCAATGTCTGTTTTAAGTTAGAAAAAACAAGAGTAGAATTATGCCTTGGGTGACTTTTATGTGAAATATTTTCCTTGTGAGAAAAAAATGACATGGAATTTCATTTCTGTCCATGGTAGCCTAGAAATCACTGATTGAATGCCATTTCTGTCCCAATTCCGCACAGAATCTGTGCCAAAATTTTGTACAGGTAATATACTTAATTGATAATCATTTTTCCTATTATCTTTTTTAAAACCCCCAGCTGTGTTCAAAAATTAATAAGCAACATTTAAAAAAAAAATCTTAATTGTTTGTGATTAAGGGTTAAGATTATATAGTATTTTAAATTATGAGTATTTTGATACCCATTGTGTTAAAGGAAAGAATAACAAATCAACTTCAATGAATTTTATCAATTTTTCTCATGTTTTTGTACTTAGTAATTTTTTCAGCTTTTCTCAGTAATAAAAAGTCTCGCAAAAGTTCTAAGTTTTCACTTATATCTAACATAGAAACTGGTTACTTCAAACTTCACCAGTATAAGGCACTTATAGGTGACTTGTATGTGACTTATATGTTGGGGAAAAAATGGCCAAAAGTGACTTATATGTAGCATATACCTATAACTGACTTAGACAGGTTTTTAGGTGATTTATAAGTGACTTATATGTAACTTATAGTTCTCTTATAGGTCAAGTATAAGTTGCATATAAGAAACATATAAGTCACTTAAAGTCATTTTGGTAAGGGCAAATAATTAATTGATTGTTTTCAGCTCCATCTGTTGTTCGAGATTTGACAGCAATGGAAAGTGCACCTACGCAAGTTGATCTGAGCTGGACGATGCCAGAATTCCAGAATGGGATTATAATTCAATATACTGTCAGCTATTTAGGACACAAAGGGGTACATATTTTTATGCTTTATTTCAATAATTTTAGATGTCTTTCTATGCTTTGATCAAATAGTTTCAGTACTTAAAATCACTTGCCTGTTTCTGCTTTGGTTTCTGCCAGGGACTTAGGATTCTAAATGTTTATACTAATACTCAGATGTCTACTCCAGTGCCAGTTCATGCCTGAAAATAATGCATTGAGGGAAACCTTACATCTTCCTCCACCAGTTTAACTGGAAAGTTCCCACTTGAGCTTAACAGTGTGCTTTTACATTACAAAAAACTAAAAAAAAACTTGCTGGATAAGTTTGAAATGCAGTGCATTCAATTTATGTTATAAAGATATATGCATGTCATTTAAATATTTTGACCATTTTCATACTTTCATTTTTGTTGTTCATGTTATGTGTAACACAAGTAGTTTATCTAGTCAAGCTTGCAAGAATATGTACTTTTGTAGAGTAAGGCAGCCTTGAAAATAGATCCATACTTTTACTTTTTTATAGACTGACACAGTTGAAGGCTCGGCAAAGGTCCCCTTTCCTACAACTAAACAAATCTTCACAGGTCTTAAAGCAGGATATACATATACATTCCATGTAAGTACATGTCAGATAGTTTGAGGGTTCACCGCAAGACTGTTGTAAGTCCCTCTTTATTTCATAAAAGTCTAGTGTGTAATAAACATGTTATTACATTTATAATAAAAATACTGGTGTAAAAATACCCCTGTATGACTCAAACCCAATAGATATCTTGGTTGAGTGGCAGTCACTGCTATCACAAGGCCATCATTATTATAGTTTATACTACAGTTGCTTATTTCAGTCTGTTAAGAAAGCATTTTGGAATTAATTTTTAAAAACATTGTCTTTATATTAGCAAAGACTTTTTCGCTGAGTTATCTGACCTTGAATTCAATGCAAACAAATATTTATACGAGGTCATGTTACCTGTCATAGGTCTATAACAAATTTATAATGCAGCAAAATTATTTAATATTTTATGATGATTGATTACTTCATAAATTGACTGCAGCTGGGTATATAGATTTTTACAAACAGGATGTTTATCCAATGAAAATGGACATTACAAACGTGCAGTATTATAAATAATGAATGGTATAATACATGTTTTATTTTACCAGGTTGTTGCGGAGACAGCTGCTGGTGAAAGTATGGCTGCCTCTATTATACTTCTACTTAATACATACAGTGAGTAGTCATTTACATTATTATGTTTTTGTCTTGAAGAACGAAGTAATGTGTATTATTATTATTATCCTTTTGTTAGTCCCCTACCGGTTTACCAGAGGGGACTTTAGGTATACCCTCCGTCCGTCTGTCTGTCTGTCCGTCAGTCCCTCCACAAAACTGGATCCCGCGATAACTTGAAAAGTACTGAAAATATTTTTATGAAACTTGATATATGGATAGATGGCAGTATGGAGATTATGCAGGTCTTTTTCTTTTCTTCCTATGTTGAAAATTCTGGTTGCTATGGCAACAAATAGGCTGAAAATATGGCAAATTTTACACATAAACTGGCTCCAGTGATAACGCAAAAAGTAATAGAAATATTTTTATGAAACTTGTAATATGGGTAGATGGCAGTCTGGAGATTATGCACGTCTTTTTCTTTTCTTCCTATGTTGAAAATTCTGGTTGCTATGGCAACACATAAACTGAAAATTTAGCAAATTTTACACATCAACTGAATCCAGTGATAACTCAAAAATTACTGGAAATATTTTTATGAAACTTGACATATGGGTTGATGGCAGTCTTGAGATTATGCATGTCTTATCTATTCTTCCTATTTTGAAAAATATTGGTTGCCTTGGCAAGAAATAGGCTTAAAACATGGCAAATATAACAATATTTGTGATTAGTCAAAAAGAGCTGAAATTTTTTATGAAATTGCATCTTTAATTCAAGAGTTATCTCCTCTTTAAGAATTTTGCTTTTAAAAATGTTATATTTTGGTAACAGGGATGTTTCAAATATTAACTTTAGAGTGTCCTTCAGTCCGTCTGTCTGTCTGTTCATAAAAACTGTTTCCTGTGATCACTTTTAAAGAACTTTTCCAACAAATTTACTTAAAATAGAGAAAAATTGAAACATTAGTGAATGGCCAATCAGAATGTTGATAGGGTTCTAACCGGTAGGGGACTTATGGATTGCTTGCAATACTATGATAATTGCTTGTTTGATTTGGTTTTAAGTGACATGGACATTGTGAAGTTCATCTAGTGACTTTCCAGCTTTACTGATGAGGGAAGGTTTGGTTGGCCTTAAGTGCATGACTGCATGCATGGTAACCCGGTGCCTACCTTTTGTAAGATAGTTGAAAATAGCTTCAGGTCATATTCCTGTATGGATGGATATTATTTGTCACTTTAGTGCAGTAACGGGTTAACTCCCTATATAATTTGATAGGCTTTAGCCTGTTACTGCACTAAGGTGACAATTTGAACAATGAAATATAATAACAAATATGTGAGAATACACATCAACAAAACAAAGCAATGTGTATCAAAGATCTGACAATATCTAGCAATGGAAAGGCATTAAGTGGTGCATACAAAAAAAGAGGCGTAGTGATTGGTCACCAAAGGCAAGATAAAGTCAAATTTACATGGAAATATAATGTTACTCTATGATGGACTTAGGCCTTAGAAAAAAACTGATCTATCATAAAAAAATCTAAATTTTAGGTCTTAAATGCTTATTTCAAATCAACAAGATCTTGGTAAGTATTATCCTTAAAAAAAAAACTGTCGCAATCGCTTTTTAATACATAATCATAATATTAATATTTTTACATCATTACTTAATTTGACTTGCATAATTTGACTCTGTATTATATTATCATAGAGCCTCCATACAAAGATGGTGTCGACAAATTCACTGCCATGCCAAAATCTGTTGATAGTAAGATAGCTGCACCAAGTCCCTACAAAATTGTGATGAACTTTACAAATGTGTTCTCGGACAAGTACGGAGAGGTCAATTATTACACTGTCATAGCAACAGAAGATAAAGACGCTATAGATATAAAGACAAAGCCTGTTCTCCCTGGCTGGAAAGTAGCGAGACAAGATGCTTCAATAAAGGCTTATCAGGTTGGTTTATACATTTACACTATTTATAATGATTTTACGTTTTTTTGCCTACCTGATTAGCTCATTAGGGAGAGCATTGAATTTGTAATCTTTGGGAGAGGCGAAATGTCTCCGTAAAAGTTGATCTCTGACATTGAGTCTAATGGTCACTGGTCTTTCACTGCTGACTTTAGAACTCATATAGGACTTTGCCCTAATTTTCAATATAAACTTGCCTGGCAAGCTATAACGAATAACATTTGGTCTATTGCACTTAGACTGTTGAGTTTGAAACATTGATTAAACGTATTTTATCGCAAAAAAAATTGTTGACAACAATTATATTGATATCTTTTGAGAGCAGTAAATTACTGAAAAGTTCACACTCCGTGAAAATGAGTCCTAACTTGATAGATATTGCTAAAACTTATCTTGTTTAATTTCAATCTTTTTACATTTTGCTTTTTGATCGAATTTCTATGTTTTACTTTTTTGCATAATAAAATTTTAAAAATAGAAAGAAGAAAAAATGCACATCTGAAGAATTAACATCATTTGTATGATTGCACACAAGGAATTCAAAAATGTTAACTGATCTTTTTACAGGTAATATCAAACTGTTCAACATTTTTTGATGCCGGGTCCTCGTGCGATGGCCAGTTTGTTGTGAGAACAAAGAGAGCGGCACAGGAAGTCGGATACAAGGTGTTCGAAATTGGTTCGGAAACTGGCTGTGAGAACAAGTTTTACTGTAACGGTCCACTGAAGCCAGACACCACGTATTATATACTTTTGAGGGCGTACACAACAATGGAATATGCAGATACCCCATTTTCTGATCCAATTAGGACTGCCGCTTTGCGTATGTTGCTTGAATTTCTTTCGATTCTCAGCAGATTTTGTAAAAATGCTTTACTGATTTTAAAACATAATTCGAGGGATTATCACAAAACTGTTGTAAGTCCTTCTTTATTTCATAAAAGTTACAGCAGTTTTGCGGTCAACCTCCGATATAAATGTTAGAAAATGCTTAAAGACCTATTATTCCCCAGAAATGCTTTTATTTTCATCTCTCAAATCTTTTTATTTTCAATGTCCTGTTTTAGTTTTTAAAAAAGTTACTCATTAGCCAATTGCCTGAACCGTCTTTTGCTTCTGTTGCCTTTTGACAATCAGTACAGTAAAAGTGATTTAGTATTTTGTATAGAAGTCAAAATGCAACTTAGTTTACATTTTGCTACTTTTATAACAAGTAATCTCACATTCAGTGATACTTTCTTCAGGTGAAAAGTATCATTCTAACATGCTCTCAAATCATTGTGTTAATAATATAAAACTGATGTTTGCCATTTGTAAAGAAGGAAATATTTATTTCTGAGGCAAACTGTGCCTTTAAACGATTATATCTTTTATAGATAAGCCAATAGAGTTATTTTTAAAAGTTTGCATATTATTAGATCAATAAAAACCAATTCTTTTCTGTAGCTTTTGACGTTTTGTCTTCTTCGGAAAACAATTGATGTTTATAAAATAACAAATGACTCAATGACTGTCTATTAAACTATACACTAAAAGAACGCTAAAAGTTAACGTGGAAATAAACACTTTGTCAAATAATATCTTTCATGCATTAATACAGCAATAAACAATACAATATACATATTCTATGTAAATCTATATATCCATATATTAGTTTGTAAACCTTTTTTTTTAAATTTTTTAAATTTATATGAGTGGAAATATCTAAGTGTAAAGAATTTTTGTTTCTATTTGTATTCAGCCGGGGAGTCAAAAGGTGCAAATGTCGGTGGAATAGTGGGTGGGGTAATTGCAGCTATTGTTGCGATCGCTATCATCATCATTATTGTTGTTATAATGAGGCGTAGAATGGATAAGAAAAGCAATATGTACAGACATAACCCTGGTGAACAGATGACCCATAGGTCGTCCCTGACCAACAGGAAGACATAGTAAGTTATCACTTCTGATACACACATTGCAAAATCAAACAGTATTTCCCAGATGTTGAAGTGGATGATACATGTGTACATTTGTAGACATTGATTAACTTTCTCCTTGATGCTAATGAGTATAATCCTGTAAGGATTAGTTGGTCGGTTTTTATCCTGATTTTGATGCATGTTTTAGTCATATCACGGCACTCAGTCCACTAAAGTGGCAACTGGATAAACTAACCAGCTATTACCAACTTCTCTTCAGTACTAATTTCACATTATTGGTGTATAGGCAGTGTGAGAAAAATGACGTTTAGGAACGTGACTTCTTTCTTGTGAGGAAGTTGTTTATCAAACGGTTTATTTGTGTCACATATGAGGTCATATGATGTGTAAGCAGTAATGTTTTAGGCTGTGCAATTAATAATTACTTGACTGCCCTATTTTGCATTTACTATTCAACAGCTTTGATTATTTTTAATGTAGACTATGTTGTCTGTTTCTATTCTATTTTAACCTTTAGCCCGCTATTGGCAACAGAATATATCCATGCAACCAGTGCAGACCATGATCAGCTCAACCTTTATTCCATTGATCATGGTCTGCACTGTTAGCTATTCAGTCAGAACACATTTTTCCCAGAAATGATGTATGGTCTTGTCCAGATTGACAGATATCTTTTAACCCTGGCATTACTTTTAACCATGGAATATCATGAAATATTAATGTTATTTGTAACTTTTTCTGCTGCTATGTTAAATGAAAAATCTGTTACTTGTATTTACAGTCATGGTTTCAACTTGATTGTGATACCATGGGTCCATGTCTGTATTCTATTATAAAATATATCTGTTGTTATGTTTAACCATGGCTCTTTTTCTATGTTTATTACAGTAAACCTTGGTTTCATTTCTTATTTAACTTAAATACATCTTTTGCTATGTTTAACTTATAATGGCTCTGTTTATGTATTTATACCTGTATGCCATGGTTCCATTTCTTACTTAACTTTAATACATCTGTTGCTTTGTTTAACCATGGCTCTATTTCTATATTTATAACCATAAACCATGGTTCTGTTCCTGTATTTAAACCATGGTTTTTGTATTGCTATTCTAGTGGACCAGTTAATCTTGCTAATTTCAAGCACCATATACAGATGATGAAGGCTGATTCTGATTTCAAATATGCTGAACAGTTTGAGGTAACTACTTGCAATCTTTTGTCTGCTATTGTATTTACAGTATCAGTTACCATAACTGATTTACTCTTATTTCTTCAGTGTTTGTTCTTTTTTCAGTGTTTGCATAGATAATTCTGTCTCTTGCACTTTATTAACTGATATAAAAGATGCTTACTTTGTTTCTGTTATTAAATGCTATGATTTAATTATGCTTACTTTGTATTTACAAAATGAAAACACTTTTCACTCTCTTATCATAAAAACAGTGTAATTATACTTTATTCTATAAACCCAAGGACAATTTTATGATTGTATATTTACCACTTTTCTTTCCAAGAAGTGCAGGAAAAATTTTCAATAGTAGCTTTGAAAGTGTTTAATTAAGACAGTTTTACATGTTAGAATTTGAAAAATATTATAAAAATGCTGCATTGATGTACAACATAGACAGTTTACCATGAGAACTTCTATGGTATCTGGCATGATGGGGGTTTCATAGCAGAGTGGTTAATGTCATTGACCTTGAATCATTTGCCTCTTATTGCTATTCATGTAGGTTTAAATCCCAGCTGGGACTTTGAATTCTCTATTGAGTGAAAGCTATTCAGCTATTTTATTACAGGTCAGTGGTTCTATTTAGGTGCCACTTCTGCCTGAACTTGAGCATGTATGAACACCTAAGGTTTTCCTCAACCTTGAAAGATGTCATATCACCTTGTGAAAACATGTTCTTGTGTGACAATAAACATTCTTTTATTCAATGTTCAATACTTAAAATTACAGGATCTTAAAGACGTTGGACGAGGGCAGCCATGTTCTGCAGCAGAGCTTGCCTGTAATCGTGGCAAGAACCGATTCACCAATATCCTACCATATGATCACTCCAGGGTTAAACTACTGCCTATAGATGATGAGGAAGGCTCTGATTATATTAATGCTAACTATATACCTGTAAGTTATTGGGTTATATATATAACATTGCATTTTTACTCTATGTATGCATGTGCCATTATGACATGAATTATGGCACTGGTTAAAAAACCTGGCCAGTATGTACATACATGTATATATCCATTCAGTTATTACAGGATGACTTTAAGCACTTTGATATCTAAATATTGCTAGCAATTATATAATTAATAGGTCTTAATTAAAAGATGGACTAGTCCATTATTCAAGGTCAGTGGGTTCACTTTATGGGTACATAACAATTTGATCCACTCAAGGATTGTTCCATATATGTTCACATTAAAAACAATATTTATTGTTTTTAAATTATTTACTTTGAAAATGATTTATTTTGAAGAAATGGAATTGCATTTATATAGGAATTGCTTGAAAAAGATAACATCTTAAGGATGACTTATTGTAATAATAAAATATTGTATATTTATACAGGGCCACAACTCACGTAGGGAGTACATAGTATCACAGGGAGCTCTACCTGCAACCAGGGATGATTTCTGGAGAATGTTATGGGAACAAAATTGTAGAAATATTGTCATGTTAACAAAATGTGTAGAAAAAGGAAGGGTAAGTTAACCAGACTTTCCATAAATATAATAATATATGAGCCGCGTCACGACAAAACCAACATAATGGGTTTGTCACCAGCATAGTTCCAGACCAGCCTGAGCATTCGCGCAGTCTGATCAGGATTCATGCTGTTTGCTATCAGTTTCTCTACTTGTCAAAGAGTTGGTAAGCGAACAGCATGGATCCTGATCAGACTGCGCGGATGCGCAGACTGGTCTGGATCCATGCTGGTCGCAAACGCATTATGTTGGTTTTGTCGTGACGCGGCTCAAATATTGAATAATTATCCGGATTTCAATATGCCAGGTATTGTAACAATGGATATGCATAATATACATTCATCAGTTTGGTTGTGAAATGTTTGTCGCAAACGCAATACGTTGGTTTTGTTGTGGGGCAGCTCATATAAAGTTCATCAGGTTTAAACCATATTACACTAAGTGGTTAAGGAGGCTTCTTAAAACCACTAGTCTCTCTCCACAGAGAGTTCAAATCCTGTGAAATCCTATTTCTTCTATCTGAGGATGGTTCAAGCTAGCTTTTGGGAGGTTTGTGGTTCTACTCATATTCTTGCTCATGCCTGAAATAATAGACTGAGTGGCACCTGAGGTATTCCACCAGTAAGCTGGAAAGTTAACCTATGACCTTTACAATGTCGGTGTGAGTTTACACTTAACCAGAAAAAGACAACTTATAGCAAGATTTGCAAAGGTCGTTAAGTGCTTTCTGAATATTAAAGCTTTTATTAAGAAATGTATAAATAAACAATCGGCGAACATTGCAGACTCACACTTATGAACTACATGTATTTTAGAACATCTTGTACCTGGTCATGTATGATTCAATATATTTTATTCTGTCATTTAATATATAGTGTATATTGTTATATGAATGAGGATAATCTACATTTATAGGAAAAGTGTGACAAGTACTGGCCTTCAGGATCCGATGCAGTATTTTATGGTGACCTTCAGGTGGCCACTCTTAATGAGACTCTCTTTCCTGATTGGACGGTCACGGAATTCAGGGTTTCTTTGGTAAGATTTTATATCTTTCATTTTTAGAATCTCTTTAGTAAGCCTAAGTTATAATTGTAACATTTTTACTCATGACAAATGTACCATTCAATTGTATCAACAAACCATGTTACAGGTAAATCAATGAATTAAGTTTTTACCTTTTGTCTCCGAGGTCATTGCAGTGGTTTTGTTTATTCACTAGAAAAGGGAATTGGGTTGTGATGTCACTGGCTTTCAGGTTGGGGGTGGCGTTTAATGAAGATTTCAATTTGTGCCCTTTTACCACGAGTTTAATTATTATCAAAAAGTCCTTGTAATAGTGCTTACAAAACCAATCAATTTGGCCAAGGGTCAAAGGCAAGATTTGAATCTGAAGGCTGACAATACCACCAATTTTGAACAACATTTCAGACAATGAATGGATTGCCAATCTGTTTATAATGAGAACCCTGGAGGTAAGGTGCAGTGTTTCATTTGATGTGTGTGTTGAACAATAAGGATGAGCTGATGTCATTCTTGACCAGTCATGTTGAAATATTGCCTAAGATCTTACCATTGTCTTTGTGACTAAATAAAAAAAATATGTTACTCCATTTACCGTCCTTGTTATGTTTTTGATGTTATCTTGAAATGAAATTTAAAGGAATTTTTATTATTATGTGTAAAATGATTTATAGCAGGAAGTAACATTATAAAGTTTGCTGTTATTATCTAATCAAGTGTTATAACATACTTTTTAAACTTCCAGGGTGACCAATCACGACAAATAAGGCATTTTCATTTTACCTCATGGCCAGACTTTGGTGTACCAAAGAAAGAACAGGTGCTTGTTAGATTTGTCAGAATGGTTCGTGAAAAATTGATGAAAGATGCTGGACCAATCATAGTTCACTGCAGGTAAAATATTGAAAATTAGTCTTTATTCAGATATGATAGAAATGTGTCAGTGTTAAGATGCAATAAGTACTTTTGGATTTACAGCAGGGGCCTTTATGACCTAGTGTTTGATGATGACATTGATATTATGATACTTCACATTTGTAAAATAGAGAAAATAAGAATCCCTAAAGAATTTCCAAAACGGCAAAATAAAAAAATTTTGCAGTTTGCAGGCTCGGTTTGATTGAGCCTTTGTAAGGTTTTATTCGGTGGACAAATCTTACCGTTTTTATAAACTATATACACAGCTGTCGTCAATTTATGAATTAATTTTCATTTTTCAAATGAAGTTATTCTGCTGTATTAGAAATTTGTTTATAATATAATAAGATGTCTGAAATGTTATATGGCTGTGTATAAATGGTTGTTTGCGATATAACCCTATCCCTAGCAGCTTTGGTTATATAAACTTACAACAGTCAATATTGGGTCATATAACCTGTCAAACACCTTAACATAGTAATGACCTTGTCTATAACAACTTGTGTATAAGTGAAAACATGACTGTAGTGATAATGCTTTATTTGCCAAAAAAAATATGAAGGCTCCAATAGTATTCAATTGAAACTTGAAATAATATATAATGGCTATTTTTAGTGCTGGTGTTGGAAGGTCAGGAACATTTGTGGTGCTGGACAGACTTCTACAACATATCAAAACCAATGATTCATTAGATATATACAATACTGTGGCAGAACTGAGGAAAGAACGGGTCTGGATGGTACAGACTGAGGTATGAGCCTCTTTCTGGTATTTTCTGCTTATTTAATGTAGTACAGTTCTAATATATCAAGGGTTTGGTGTGAAACAGTTGTAACTCATATTGCACAGTGTTACATATGTTTTGCACCGATCCATCGATATTTTTCTCAAGGAGACTCTGCATATAAATTTTTAAATTGTCCTGAGAGAGATTCTGATAGATAATGTTGGGTTGTAATTGATTTTGTTAGTTTGGTTAGGGTCTAGGGTTTGTTATAATGGTTAAAAAAGCTTTATATTTCCTTGACCATTAGGCTTTAAAAAAATTTACATGGCTTTATTTAATTGAATGGATTTGATAAGTGATATAGTACCCTTGCTACTTGTTAGTTTGTAAGGTAACAGGAAAGTAAAGCATTACTGTACAATAAGTATACAAAATAAGTAGTCTTGTACAAGTACATGATAAAAGATACACTTGTGACTTTTTCTTTAATAGCTATAATGACAATGTGTTTCATATTTGTACACAGCAGCAATTTATTTGTATCTGCAACTGTAAACAGTTTTATTCCCAACTTCATTTATTTATATCCACAACTGTTTGTATCTAAATTTGAATTCTTTTGTTTCCACATCTGTATTCATTTGTATCCACATATTTATTAATTTGTATCCACAACTGTATTCATTTGTATTCAAAACTTTATGCATCATTCATTTGTATCCAAAACTTTATTTATTTGTTTCCACATCTGTATTCATTTGTAAACACATCTGTATTTATTTGTTTCCACAACTGTTCATATACATGTATATACACATCTATATTCTTCTGTATCTACATATGAATTCATTTGTATCAACAATTATATTCATTTGAATTAACATCTGTATTCATTTGTGTCCACATATGTATTCATTTATTTTCATGTTGGTATTCATTTGTAAACACATCAGTATTTTTTTGTTTCCACGACTGTATTCATTTAAATACACATCTGTTTTCATTTGTATTTATTTGTTTCCACGACTGTGTTCATGTAAATACACATCTGTTTTCATTTGTATCCACATCTGTATTTATTTGTTGCCATAACTGTGTTCATTCATATACACATCTGTATTCATATGTTTCCTCAACTGTGTTTATTTGTTACCACATCTGTGTTTATTTTTTCCACAACTGTGTACATTTATATACACATCTGTATTCATTTGAATTCACAACTTTATGCATTTGTTTTGATATCGGTATTCATTTGTAAACTTATCTGTATGTATTTTTTTAAACAACTGTATTCATTTGAATTCACAACTGTATTCAATACACATCTGCATTCATTTGTATCCACATATGTATTCATTTGTTTCACATACATATTCATCTGTATCCACATCTGTCATTATTTCATTTTTATATCAAAATCTGTATTCATTTTTGTATTCCCAACTGTATTCATTTGTATTCACAACTGTATTCATTTGTATTCCCAACTGTATTCATTTGTATCCACAACTGTATTCATTTATATCCACAACTGTATTCATTTGTTTCCACATCTGTATTTATAAATCTGAACATTTTGTATAATTACAGCAACAGTATATTTGTATCCACAACTGTATTTTGTGTGTGTTGGAAGGCCGGGAAGATGAGCATATTTATGATAATGTCGGACATGCTAACATTGCCTTTGAAGGTAAGATCAGTAATTTAACTTTTATACCTGAATGCAATATGTATACCAGATGAAAATAATATATTTGTAATGTATGTGTAATAAAGATGAAATAATATATCTATAACTTGTAATTTATATGCATAGTTAGACTTAAAATATTGCCACATAGATTTTTTAATGCAAATTTTTCCCAAAGACTTAGTCAATGCGTATGACTTAGGGGGAAAACATAAAAGATTATTTCATGATGTAAAGATTCTAAGGGTTTTAAAGTCATTTATTGCAAGATGATCTTAAAATGGTTGTTGATGTTTAATCGCTCATAAAAGTGTAGTCTAAATAATGTGATAATACAAGATGATCTTCATTTTTACATCATGAAATAAGAAAAAAGTGATGTGTGTACAATATCATCTACATATAAAATGCATTTAAAAGGTGTGATTTCTTTGTGATTTGTATGTGTGTATTTCTATAAAAATTAAAGATTGGTGCATTCAGAACAAATATTTTCCCCTTCAAAAAAAATTCATTTTATGGTTATAGCAATAGTTACTATTGCTAAAATATTTAAAAATATTTCTACTTTTTAAATATTTCTAATTTTCTTGACTTGTACTTTATCTTAACTGTTTGTAGACCATAGTTGTACAGAAATTTAAAAGTGTAAGTTTTGGTTAAAAAAACAACATAAGTTTTTGTAGTAGCATTTTTTTTTGGGGCAATATATGGTATAATTAAATCCCCTACCCCTGCTTTAATTTGTGTATAATCAGTTTGAACTGCTTTTCAGTTAGAACAATCCATTATTTCTTCAAGGGGTTATTATATTCAGAATATTATGATTAGGCAACCAGTAGTTAAGAGTTGGGTGAAACCACACAAAAGTGTGAGTTGGCCTGGCTCTGTACTGTTCCATTAGTTAAGGCACATGATTATTTCAGCTAATGCTTTATGTTATCTTTGATCTTAGTTGATATAATCTTCCATACTCTTACTCGCTAGCAAAAGGAGATGGTTCTCTAGTTTTCTGTTTATCCTATATAATATTATGTTTATTATCAGAACTGTCTGAATTTTCTTTGTTAAGTCTAGGTAACTATATCCTTCAATTGCTTCATCTTATATATACATATGTAATTGTTTCTGTTGAATCAGATCTTTGAACCAGAAATTCTGGCATACACCATTCCAGAAATACTGGAATAAAATACATATGTATGCCATTTGGGTTATAAATGAAATATTATTAGGAGTGAAATATTAATAGTATTTTCCTTTCTACAAGTAGATCTGCTAGAAGTCATATTTCTTTTGTTTTTGGTGGCAGTGTTTGAAAATTCATGGAGCTGATCTTCTGCTAGTCTGACTAGCTAGCAAAAACACAAAGAAAGTGCTAAAATATAATTGGAGTGATTGATCCCATCAGTGTAATAGTCCATCTTGATGTTTTAAACTTGTAATAGATTTTGCAGCTAGGCCTTATATCGACTGCTAGTTTATATCTAGTTTTGTTATTGCTAGTATTATTTTGTGATATTTGAAAGATTGAAGTAAATTCATAAATGATGAAAGAAAATTTAAAGTAAAATGATTGAAAATGCCCCCATCTAATAAAAATGAGGGGATATTGCTTTACACTTTGGTCATTGTGTCTGTTGGTATATCAGAAATTATCTGACCAATAACAAACTAAGTTTTGGCCTACTGCCCCTAGATTTAGTCAGAAGGTTAGTCATGACAACTGGATGACCCCTTATTGATATTAAGTCCAGTTGGTTAAAGGTCAAGGTCACATTGACAAAGTTAACATTTAGTCAAGATTTGGCCAATGCCCATCAGGAACATGTCTATTTTGTTATTGTTACACCAGGGTATATGTTAAACAAACTTCAATTGTTTGATAAAAATATGATGTTTATTTGATAAATATTATATAATAAATTTATATAATACAATATTATACAATAATTAAAGATAATGCATTTATATAATACAATATAGATAATACGGACACAAATAGAAATGTAGGTAAAACCGTGGAGGATAAGATACAGATAATATTGGAGTCCGGCTACTGAATTGTAATTATTTTTTTGTCTTAAAAATTTACATTTTTTCTTATTTCTTCAGAATGAAGATTTTCTTGCATGTTGTTAAAAGTTACTAGCTAATGCATTAATTTTCTTTGTTCTTTATGCACTTAAATTTTGTACACAACTTTATTACATTGTTTTATGCAATGAATACTTTTTTATCATGAAGGCAACACCTAATTAATTAAAAAAACAAATGTTATATTTTTGTTTTTGGATGCTTTTATTAAATTCCTTTTCATTTTATGGCAAACTCTTCATTGGGAAAAATGACTTTACAAACTAACATATCGCTTTAGGAATGTTGATATTTTGCAAGGGGATTTTTGCCAAAATGAAAATTATTTAACATAGATTCGTTATCTTCATTTACAAGAGGTCATATACTTTTGTTGACAGTATGTGACTCTTGATATCATAAAACTTCAAAATGATATAGATAAAAGACTTGTTATATTTATGCTATCTTTGACTCATAACCTTATTTACAATGTATGACTAAACAAATAAACACAAAGTCAACAAGATAGGATGTATACATATTGACAATATAAAAATGTTATATTTTTATATTTGTACAGAAAGAAAGCTTTCCTTTTTATATAATGTTTTCCACAATGACGTCCTAATAAGTAAGATATCCATGCAATGTTTGTATTTAAAGCTTTCATATACCTTCACAATGATCATAGTAAAATTCATTTAATTTAGTTAATTGTATAACAAGTGGCCACTTTTTCTTAACCCTTCATCTGCTGGAACCAAAAGTGATCAGCCTTTGCCACCAGTATAATAGAGCTAGGCTAGCCTGCACATCCGTGCAGTCTGACCAGGCTCTATAGTGTTGGCAGCTCAATTTTTTGTATCTTGATATTGAAATCCCTTGAACTTTGATTGGATTCTTTTAAATTCAAAGCTGGGCAGATCTATTATAGAAATTTAATACACTTGTTACTATATATAGTAACAAAATTGCCTATGGTTTCAACTGATTATGAGTGTCACATGGCCTATTATAAGTTTCCGACCCGGGGCCCGAGAACTAGTTATCAGCCCGCTGAACATGTGCACGCCCACAAACTGAAATAATGACATCATATTTTACATCATCAAACAGTTAACTGTAAAAGTGAAAGTAGGTTTTAATCACAAATTGCTTGATTTTATTATGAGAGCTTAAGGGTATTTCGTACACACACAGTTTGATTACTATTGAAATTTAAAGAAATAATACAACAAATTCATTCCGAAAAAAAAAAATGAAAATATAACTTGCTTGTAGATCTAGTGTACTTTGAACACACAAAAAGTAAACAACTCTGTAGAAGTTACTGTAGATCCGCTGTACTGTACAATACTGTAGAAATGCAGACAGGAATTACAACAAAAGAAATTTCAAAGTATTTTTTTTAGAAAAATGCTTCTATTAGATCTACCATTAGTGTATTAAAGACATTAATACACAGCAAAGAAGGGCCGGAGGTTGATAATCGGCCCTGAAATGAATAATGCCCTCGGGCTGAAGCCCTCGGAGCCATTATTCATTTTGCAGGCCGATTTTTTACCTTCCGGCCCTACTCTGCCATGTATTAATCTCTTAATAGCAGGTTAAGGGTAAATATGAGAGGTACACATAACTGAGGGGTAAATTGACTTGTAATGACATGTTTATAGTCACTGCAATATTTTATAGATAAGTGCTGAAGAAAAAATTTGCATTTTGAATTTAACTGATGTGTTGGCTAACCTTGCTGATGCTGCATTGGCTGCATTGGTTAATGCTGTAGCCATCAACCTGCTAATGGTTAAGGCCTTGTGCCCCCAAGGATTTGTTACTTCACAACCAATTTTGTTACTTCACACCCAACTTTGTTACTTCACAACCAACTTTGTTAATAGACACCCAACTTTGTTACTTCACACCTAACTTAATTTACCAATGTGACCAAGGCTGACCAATGAGATGGCACAAAATATGATCTTGGTCTGCACTGTTATTTGCTATTCAGTTCTTGCACATTTTAAAATTCCCCCTAAAAATGACAAATGTTTTTGTCCTGGTTGTAAAATTGGCAATGTCTGTTTAAGGTTCACGTGTCTGTCTGCAGTTGATTGAATGTCTGAAACTTGCTGAATATACATTAAAAAGTGTGACAAATGCCACATCCAAGCCTTATCAATATACAAAAAAGCAACAGAATAAAGAAAGAGACAATTATACAATTAACTAATTTACAAATAAAATTTTTAAAAAAGTTGAAGAAGGTTATATGAAAGCTTCAGCTGGTACCAAGTACCTGGAAAAACATTGAGTTTTTAAATTGATTTTTTTAATCATTAATATGAATATGAAGTATTTGAGTAAATATTAATTTTAAATATAAACCAGGTTTTCAATATTGAAAATGTTGGTTATAAGATGAAGGGAGGGCTATGGTACAGGGAATGGTGTCAGCTTGATTGTTGGGTGGTTTGAAACACATGGCTTCTGGGCAAATGTTTTGTTCTGTACCTATTACAAAGTTGCTTTGTTAACATTCCATGACCCACAAGGTCAAGGTCATAGCCAATGTCACTACAGAAATAGATAGCAATGGTTTCAATCTGGTAGGGATGCACTAAAATTGGAATAGCATGTTTGAATGAAAGCTGACTTAACATAGCTTTTATGTAGGAAGTTATAAAGTTTTTGAATGACTTTTAAGACATGTGGCTAATGTAAACTTGCTATTGTTCTACTGTAAGGATCATGATTTATAAGTATGGCTTCTATTTGATATTTGATGAAACTTGATTATTGTAAGTACTGTTATCAAAGATCTTTAGGTGCACTTAGGAGATCAAGGTCAAAGGTGAAGGTTAACAGAACTTAGAATATCAATACATTTGTATATGAAATGTGTTTTTGTTGGTAACAACCTTGAAGAGACATGACATACCTTTATGCGCATTGATATACCAATGTCAGGCAATTATTTTGTTGCATTTTGGAGACTGAGGTCAAGGTGAAGGTCAAAAGGACTCAGAATATTTATCTGAAAGTTTTGATTACTGATGGTGTCATGTTTATAATTAAGTATATACTTTCTTTTGCATTAGATACCCATAGGGTCAATGCTAATTTAACAAGGTCATTTAAGAGTATATAAATTTATTTCATTTGAAAAATCAAAAATGATCAGGAATCATGACATACTTAAATTGAAATTAAAATTTATTAGGTCAAGGTCATATTTAAATGGGATTAAACTAGTTAAAGGTCAATGTCAGTTTTTAAATATTGATATTGGGGCTAATGCTTAAAGTCATATATTGAAAACCTGGTTATTTGTATTTAATATTTTTAGCTCGTTCTTTTTTTTCCTTTAAGAAAAAACTTGAGCTGTTATGAGTGTTGCGGCATCGTGGTGCAAAAACTTTAATGTAGTTCATTATTCAAATATTTCAAAAGTTACCAACATGAAACTTGGAAAAGTTAAAAAATACTTATCATGACAAGATGCAGTTGTTAGGTAATGGGTGTAATTCAGAAAGCTATATTTTTGGAGTTATCCCCCTTCTTAACTGAGAATTTTTAACAGACAAGCGTTTAAACACCACCAACATGCAGTGCTCTTGTTTTAATCTTAAAAGATTATATTTTTCATTTCTATTCCTACTGGTGAATATTTTTTTGTAAACATAAAGTAATATTTTAAAAATGTTTTGATTTTTATTATACTAATATGCATGTACTTTCCAGAATTTTGAATACATTAACCATGCAATCTTACTTTTGGTTTTGACTGTTCTATTGTTTATTGTTAAAAACTTTTGCAATAATACTGACAATTTATGAATGCATTTGCATGTCAGATGTTGGGATGTGTTATGATAACTGATTTATATTACTTTGATAACTTTATATGATTCACTTGACCAATTTTACCATTAAAATTGTTCATATTTTCTGTATACATATTCAATATTCATAGCAGTCTCATTAAAATCATATCCTAACTCAGTTACTCACTAGGTTGCGAGAAGTAACAGAGCAAAATGGTGATCTGGTTTTTATGAGATTGATATTCATAGCATATTTCTTTTTCAACTTGTCCTTCTGTTATAAGTGTCTTAATATAAAACAGAATTTTTTACAGATAATTTTTTCCCTCATGAATATAGTAATTATTATTAGAATTTAATTTTTTTTTATTGGTGCATGTAAAACCAAACCAAAAAACAAACAAAAAACAAGTCTATTATCAAATGTATTTTGTATCTGTGATTTAAAAAAAATATAATGTGTCTTGCATGCAATTCTTTTTCAAATTTGTTCTGTTTGAATATTTGATAAGATTGATTGAAATCGTTTTTTTTTTATTCCTATGGCTTATACTTTGTATAGCATTTAATACATTCTTAAGTATTAAATCATGCATACTGTTAAAGGAATATTTATATTACCAACTCGGAGTTTAAATGGACCTTTTATGTATATCATAATTTATGAAGACGGAAGTTCAAAAATTTTATCAGTAGAGTATTGATTTTACAAAAAGTAGTAGAGGAAAATATTGCAATCAAAGAAAAAATATTGTAAACAAACTTTTTTTGAATATAAATTGTATTGCAAAATATTAATAATTGTAAAAATACCCAATGATTTAAATGACAAAATAGAGTGAAAAAACCAATTCTATATATAGAAAAAAATCTGAAATTTAGGTGTATCATAAAAACAGGTCTATTGTTGAGACTATTGTATATTGGCCATTGGGACTGTCATAATTATATATAATGGCTTCCTTATCAATTGTTTATCTTTGTTCACTAACAATATAGTATGTACATAATACAACCTTTTTAAACAATGTGGTTATTGAAACGTTTTACATACAGATAATAGGCTGTCTTTATAGATAACTAGTTAAAGTAATTATATACCTACATAATGTAAAAAAGGAGCTGAAGCATGTATGTAAAGCTTAAACAATGATTAAAACACTATCTTTACAAAGATTATAGTTAGCATTATGTTATTATTCAAAATGTTTTAATGTCACTGTAGGTTGTAAATAAAAAACTGGTATTATGCCACCAGAGCTTTAAGATCCAGGCAGAAAACTGAACTATACCAGGCTTAATATTCCTTTGACTGCTTAATATTCATATCAAAATCTTTTAAACTTAAAATTGACATTTCTATATTTAAAGGGAAAAAGATCTTGTCATACAAATTTAGCTGCAGAACTAGTAATCTTCTGGCTTTGAATTAAAAAAAAACTGTACATTATGTGCTTATTCAAAGGACCTGAGTGCCAGAAATGATTAAAAATTTAGCACCAAGGATTATATGGGCCTGGTCATAGCTGCAGCACACACATGCCAGCATGTTCAAACTTTGCCTGGCTCAGCATTGATGGCATAGGCCAATCATTATGTTTGTAGAGTTTGTTATATAATTATATGTTCGTAGGATAGATTATTGATACTGTAATATTTTATATTTCAGATGATGAAGGTGTGGACCTTAATTAAAACATCAAAAGCTACAAGAGTCTTTCATGTGTGAGCCCATCATCAAAGAATTGTCTTCTTTTCCATAATTATTTTATTATGTAGTTGTGTTATTTTCTTTTCTTTTCTTTCGTTCTGAAACTTTAGAGTACTCTCTGATTTTTTGTGCGCATTGTTTAATTTTCAGAAAACTTTTGTATTATTTTTAACTGTAAGTAATCAATTTTATTGAACTAATTGCTGGCGTAATAAAACTGCTCTATTTAGCATAATGGATAAATTGATTGTAAAAGGTCAGACAGCGTTTTATTTGTACAATTGACAAATGAACCCATTTAAAATTTATTTTTCAGTAATAAATTAAAGGTCTTAAAATGGAACATTCTTAATTGCTAAGTGAAAATCTATTTAATTGATTTTCTTTTGTTTTTGTTTAGATAGTTCAATATTTTATTCAATACACTGTAAGATAAGCTAGATTTTTATACATAACTAATTTGTATTATTTCAATATCACCCAAAAACGATCATGTTTATATTTATGCATATATTGAATTTTCTTCAATTAGATAATGTACACAAGAATTGTTTTAAAAAATGTTATGTCTAATTCCCTTTGGTATTGACACTCAAATGTTCTAAATAATTATTTTTTATCAGCCTGAGTTACTTGAATTTCTGTATACTGATCAAATTGTCAAATTATATTTTAATTTATGTAGTTGTTTTTTTTCCAAACGAAATCCTCATTGTAGATGTTTTCAAAAATATTTTCAAAAATATTTATATTTTATAATCAAGTTTCAAACTTGATGTGAAATACTGTGTGCTTTTTATCAATAAATATGTGCCTTTTTATTCATCACTGTATATTCCAACTCCACAAAAGTCTACTTAAATATAGGATATATCCAGACTTTTTATGTGTCTGGATGTAGCAAAAAATTAGACATGAAATATATTAGACATAAAATTCGATATGTGCATTTATTGTAAATTCACAGCATTATTTTAGAGTCCATGTATAATAAATAATCTTAATTTGATGGCAAAAAATCCAGCTGTGTACAATTCAAAGTACAAATGTATTATAATGGTCAAAATAACAAACATTGGAAGGTCAAACATCTTAGCCAGAAAAAAAACCATACACCAGAATTTTTATTGTTTACATCATTCTGCACATAAAAATTATTTCTTGTTATTAAATTAAGTTTATTTGTCTGTATATGATTAATTTGGCTAAATATTAAAAACTGTTTACAGTGATTTCACTTAACTTTCTTGGGCATTAAATTTTGTGGTGTTGCCACACAAGAATTTCATGGATTCTTAATTGAAAAATTGTTTGAATTATTATTAGTTGGATCACTGATCCACAAAAAAATCCACATAAATTATGCCTCATGAATAATAATGATTTAGCAGTATCTATAAAATTTCCAAAAAAAATAAGAATGAATCTTGAGGTGTGCACTCTTTGTTAAGGAAGAATAAGGGGTTCCAATAAGAAGATGAATTGGTCTTAATCTCAGTAAAAATGCACATTTTTGTTATATTTGTCTACACATTTCCAGTGCCTTGTGTAAATTTAATCAAAGGTATCGTTAAAGTTATGTTTTGAACAAAATGTGATCATTTTTGTTAATTGTTAAAAAAAGAAAGATATTATACTATTTTTGTACTAGATTGTTAAACATTTAATTATACTGTTATCACACTGTATTTGTTATATTCCTTTTTGTCTGTTAGATTATATACAGATTAATACAGTCAAACTTGTGTTAAAGGCCACCTCTGAATTGAGATGTCCCTGTAAATAAAGTTCACCCTTTAACAATGATTCATTGATAAAAATCGAACATAGTAAACTCTGGATTAAGACCACTTGCCTATAAAAGCCATTCCAGTCTCTCCTTAGAGTGGCCTTTCTTCACAGGTTTGTATGTATTGTTTGGAGGGACCATGATCAAATTGCTTAACTATGTTTCATACTAAAATTTTATTGATGTATACTAAGTTTATAATTGTGTGAAGAATAAATGCTGAAATCATTCCAAAGTGAAGTGCTATACAGATTGAAAAATATTTTCCCAGAATAATAGGTGAATATATGTAGGTTTGGTTGAATTGAGGAAAAGAAATATAAATTTAGATTTTATCTAAATATAGAAGGTGTGTCTTAATTACCAGGGAGGGGATAAAGTATAAATATTAAGTTGAATTTAGAAACAAAATTACACCGATTGTAGACCAAAATAAAATTGATTTATGTCTTTGTTATATTATATTGTCACCTTAGTACAGTAACGGGTTAACTCCTTATATGATTTAATACTGTACCAATATTACAATTTTGGGAGATTCCTATCAACAAAGTGAACCGTTTTTAGCAGTTCATGTGCCTTTCTGCATTACATTTTGATTTGTAGCATTCCATTCTTTATTTCAGGGATTACTGTTACATGTGAACGTTAATAGCTGACAATATCAAGTCTGAAATCAGACTGCACTTGTGCAGAACTGAATATAGACCTTGCACATCTAATTCTGTCAGGAAAAATCCAGTAATTGCCTTGATATTTTTTTACAAATAAATCCTAAAGAACTAAAATCGATTTGGCAAATGTTTGCGAAACAAGTTTTATTTTGTTTAAATGTTCTGCACGTTCAACAAAGCTTTTTGTCTGTGTTTTTTTTTTTTATCTGATTATTGATTGCAAATTAATTTTGCCAATTTTAGTAGATGTAGAATTGATGTCATTTTGGATACGTGTCTGTTAGCTGTCGGGTTATCAAATAATTAAAAATAGTCATTACAATTAGGGTTTTTTTTAAAAATATGTACATGTACAAGTAGGTCCAATTAACATGTTTATGACCAAGCATTATTGTATTTAAACATTTATGTATAATATAAGATCGTTATCTTTTAATGTACAAAGGTTGTATAAAGCATAGTATTACGTCGTTTTTGTTAAAATTGTAATTATTTTTATTTCTTATATTTGCATTAATCATGATTCAATTTTGTGTGTGTAAATTTGTACTTTGCGATGTCAAATTTTGTCCGATATTTTTTCGCATTTGAGCTGCGCCATGACAAAACCATCATAATGGGTTATCACTTTATCTACTTGTTATAGGGTTTGCAAGCGAACAGCATGGATCCTGATCAGACTGCGCGGATGCGCAGGCTGGTCTGGATCCATGCTGGTCGCAAAACCATTACGTTGGTTTTGTCATGGCGCGGCTCATTTGTTTACAAACATCACCATAGAATTTTCAACCTAAGCAGCTAGAATGTTCATATTGTCATCTTTTTCTAATCAGACAAAGCCTTCTAGATGTAAATTGAGAAATTTTTGTTTCATTTTTAACATTGCTATATTTGAAAAACTTCAAAACATACATTGTTATATTTGTTGGCACTAAAAGATTTAATATAATATGCTTTGAATTTTCATTTTTACTTTAATAATTGGAAATGTTGTGATAAAAGCATACTTTTTCCTGTATCAAATTTTGGTCTAGGGCATTACAATGATATACTAAGTCACTCTGACCAGGTTTATTTTCTCATATATTATTGATATTATTTGCTGTTTATTTTTCAGTCTTTTATGATAATTGTAAATTCCACATATTATATTTTGAGATATTATTCAGCTCCACGTTTGTTTTAATCATGCCTGCCAAATGGTGTTCCAAATGTATAAATAGAGGATTTTTATGTATGATTTATTTTTAGAATTGCTCGAAGATATTTGAGTATAAATGTAGTTCAGGGGTGTGATATTTAAGTTTGACCAAGAAGCTGCCATTGTGAACACATTGCTATGCTATGCTATTTGTCCTTTTCTGCTATCTAGTCTTTTTAAAGATTTGATAATAATGTGATTAAAGATTAAATCATTAGATTAGGTGTCTTAAATTATATAAATTGTATAGCACTGAAAGTTACATCTTATAAAGGCACTAGGAAATCAGTTTTCTTGTATGCACTGATTCGATTGAACAAGTTTTGACAGGTTCTTACCAGTTTGAATCATGCAATTTGATTAGTTAAAATGTGCTAAATAATGTGGTTTGTCTAACATTAAGCTCCTTCAGGAAATGGTTTGAATAGTTTATTTTTAGTAACATTTCTTAACTGATGCACTGACTTTAAAAATTTTATTGAATTGGTTAAAAAGAAATAATCTCAACCAATTTAATAAACCAGAAAAACTTGGTTGAACTGACGCCATATTTTATAAGACATTGAAATATAAAAAAGTGCACATATATTTGCATGGATATATTATTGTGATGGGAAGTAAAGTGGCAAATTAGGGTTTACCTTTTTGAAATACACAAGAACTTAAATAACCATGCAACATTTCTAAATACAGCCGTTTATATGTTTTTCTATAAGCAACATCAAAAGTGTGGTAATTCTATGTTTAGTTTAATATATCAAACACTACTGGAGTTACATGCCAATGTTTGTTCATGACGCCGGCAGTCCTATTTATTTTACATACTAAGGATGTTATATCTATTGAGCTTAACAGGATATGAAACTAAGAAATAAGGAACTATCAAATATTAATTGTTGACAGTAGTAACACTTTACATGTAAATTTGATGTAAATTTATATTTTTGTGAGAAAACTGTGAGTAAACATATTGTATACAAATTATCTTTAACTTGTGTCATTTTTCATTACCACCCCCCCCCCCCCCCCCCCGATATATACTTACAATATAAAAAAGCTATCATACACAGCTCAGTCGTCAAAAAGAAGCCATAAATTATTCAATACGAAATTCTTACATAGATCATGTGAAATACTTACAACAGAAACCTCTGCAAAGGATAATACAGAAGAATACTCCTAATTATGTTGAATTTCGATTGAAAGTCTTAACCCGATCAACGCTTTTCATTTTGTGCACAATGAAAATGATTTTTTTGGAAAATCAGGTCGAGAGAATGATCTAGCTTTCTGATGTTGCGTCAGTTGTGAACTGTCTTTATGCTGACTAAGCTAATAAATGGTGAGCAATGTGCAACTCCTCTTCAAGATAACTGACGATTCGAATCAAAAGTATGACCAAAAGTGAAACCGGTAATTGGTTTTGTCATACATGTATATGGAAACCTCTAGTCAACACTCCCAACTTGCCATAAACCGAATAAAATTCTTTTATTTATTACATAACAGCGAAATATTACAAAATCAATGGTACAAAATAGAAGCTTTAAATAGAATTTAGACATATACATGTATAATCAATTCAAAAGAATTTTATACTATTATGTATGGGCTACAGTACATAATATTCATTTTGCAATACATAAGCCAAATATAAAGACTATTTTATGTGGCAAGGTAATTTAAAATAAATTACGTATAGTTGGACGTCCATCACCCAGCAATGAAATTGTTACACGCTTGCTTAAATGATTACCTTATGAAAATATATGAAGCGTTTCGAACTTAAAAATAATATAATTTGATAAATACATGTAAAAAAAATAATCTTTTTTTTACCTTGAGTGTATCTATGTTATTATGCAGAGTCATTCAGAACAGCTGCATATATACAAAAAAGAAAGTTTGAAATGCAAACATATATAGACTATATCGCTGAAGTCATCACTTACATTTGTGTTGCTAGCAGTATATATGCAATTAGAAATTGTGCCGATCAACTACGGGAAATATATGCTCGAATGATATCTCTATAGCAGACGTTACGACAATCGATGTAATACTATAGTATATGTTTTCGATACAATCGACTATGGCTCCTAAAGATGAAACTATGATCGCTGCCTTATGAATAATTACTTTTTCCACTATATTCTAAATGACTTGACGCTTACAAATTTATCTATTCAGGTGGGTGTGTTTTGTAGTTCTAGGTTTAAGCTATTCATTTATTTATTATGCTCATAAATGTCTTTTTCAATAATGCCGATTTTGTAATGTAATCTTCGCCAATGTGCAGCTTTTCCATTACACGTTTTCTACGATACCCTTTCACTTAATTTAGATTCAGCCATTTCCATTTGTTAGTGCACCATCTTTAGTATCCCTTCGGTTTATAAACCCTCCTTTATAAACGGGAATATGTAGAAACATTCTGCAATTCTTAGGAAAGTAGTTTGTGGACGTCACTTTATATTGTTCTATTTGGTATTGTCTCATAGCATCTTCAAATACTTCCGCTGTGACGACAACAAGACGATACTTTGACCGATGTTCCCCGTCGATAATGTTATTGTATCTTTGTAAGAGAACCTTATAAGAATCTCCATAAATAAAGAATTCAATGCCGAGGAATGTCTGTTTTTTAAGGTCAAGCAGTTCATTTTCATTAGCATTAGATATGTAATTTATATCCGTTGGCTTAAATAAAAATTCGACTAGATCAAAAAACGTGTTTGCGCTTTTCTTGCCAAGTTCATATTTGTCTGAACATGAAGGTTTGAAAATATTTTGGTGTAAGACAAATAAAGGTGAATCACTAATTGAGATACTGCTGAAGAATTCTATTATGTTCTTTATGTTTTCACGTTTACATAAGATGTTTTTATATATGCGCTGAATAGTTTTTCTCCCCGAAACTTCATTATCAGTTTCATGACTAGTGAATGTACAGAGAGTTTTTGAAAAAAGCTTTATATTTTCAATACTGGTATCCTTTAAATCCAAATACTTTGAACGCAACGTGTCTATAGCACTTTGTGCTGAACCACTATACAATTTTTTAAACACCTTTAGTTGTTGACTTCTTCTGTTTACATCAACGACCGACACTACTTTTGTTGAATTTCCATCAAATTTCGTTATTTTAAGGTGTAAATTCATTAAAACTAACGCATATGATGAATCGCCATATATTTCCTTATCCGTTTCGAATTGTACACCTGTCGGATTGCTACTTTCTAAGTTTGCATGGGTAATTTGTGATCTCGACAACAATTTAAACAGCATGCTCTTTAAAGAATGCGATGAACTGCCATATATTTCCTTATGATATTCTATCATGTAGCTTTTGTCTAAATCAACGGTCGACAATTCTCGTATTAACCTTTCAAAAACCAGCTCGTCGAACAATGTGAAGAAATCACGTTCTTCCATTTTTTCTTCAACAATTTTTTGCAATTCTAAGACACTTTTATCACCAAATAGATAAGATGCGGCTCGATAACATAGTTTTCTTATCTCAAAGAACAAATCATCAACAGTTTGATCGTATGGCAAAAGAAATTGAGTATCCAGTGTGTTTTCATTTTTATACCTGGTTCTTACATGTGCATCAGCTAACGAACATCCCAATTCATTGTTTTCGTTGTTACTAAATTTCTGGTATTCTTTCTGTTGATGCAGATCTGGTAACAATTTACAATGTAATGATGAAGACATCATCGTCCTATTTCTAAAATTCTCTGAATTTTTATCTGAAAGTTGTAGTTCAGTGGAAACAACAGGCTCTGGAATTTGTGCACGACATTCAATGGCATTTGTTTTTGAGGCCATCTGAATGTTATTCTCATTATCCATTTTGGAAACCTTGCCGTTGGTTACCATTTTTGAGACCATCACAACTTCGCTGTCATCAACTTTTTTAGTTTTGTTTTCTTGATCCTTTTCCGAGGTCACATCGACTTTCTCTTCATATTCTATTTCTGAGGTATTGTGCACTTCATTAACACTTGTCTTAGCTTCGTTATCATCATAAGCTGCAATCATTCCTTTTAGTTCTGCAGTTGTTTCTTCTATTCGTACTTGTTTAGGTAGTCTTTCCTGGTGTATTTCTACGTCTATTTCCGGTGTATCATTGCTTAATTTGCATGCTAAGACTCCCTGTTGTGAGACATCGGGCAGAGATGACGTCAAATCTGTTAGATTTTCTATGGTGGGTGAAATGTTTCTAATGTCATTGCTTTCCTCAGTTGTAATACATTCATGTGCTTCATTTATGCTTTTTAAATCGTCTTGCACGTTGACATCAATAAATTCTTGTGAAGAAAATTCAAAATTGTCATATTTGTTGAATCTCGCAGTTTTATTGTGTTGCCTATTTTTAAAAGCTTTAATCAACGAATCATTTTTTACCTTTACAGTATGCAAGACGTTTATGATAGAGTCGGTCCCTTTTCGAAAATATTTGGTGATTTCATGTATGGCGATATTTCCTGAAATAAAAGGAATATGTATGCATGTAATGCTTATTGAAAGTTATGTAATCAGTGATAAAGACTATATTGATTGAGTGATTCAATGAGACATAAACAATTTGAACGAAGATCGGAGATTCAATTATCCAAGTGTGAAACTGAAAATTCAATTTATACATGTATTGAAAACAGAATGTGTGAACATACAAACCTCCTTGATTAGATACTACATATTAGATATCCTAGGTGCTCATGTGATAAACGGGAGAATATAGTCTAAATTAAATAAATATGACCCGAATCGCTGTCAAATGGTAATACATTCCTTGCATATCGGACATGATTATCAACCGTTTACACCGGTGCTTGGAAAACCTCTCTTGTAACCCCCGTGTAAGCCAAACTTCTTTATATAACGGCATTCCCACATGCCTTTTATGAATGACTTGCAATCTTAAGATGATATCCGTAATTTGTTTCCGAAAGATGAATTATAAGTAATATACAAGAAAAAGGATCAAGCACCGGCTATCGTCACAGGCGGGAATATCTAAAGTTGTCCAGGATATTGCATTTGCTGCAAGTATCTTGCCTACTACGTAGTATTAGGACACTCCCTAAACAAATGTTAGAAATAGAATTGTTAATAACGATGAAGGTGATGATCATCTGATTTATCCAAAAGATAATATAGTCTCGTCTAAGTGTAACCATATAAAACTGGAGCTACTCAAATTAAGACACACATGTTATGTTTTTGTGGAATGAGTATTGGTAGAATTTGACTCATTATAATATTATCATCTCTTTTAAAAATATAACCCAATTTTTTTACTACAGTTTCTGTTGGAATTCAATTACTCTGATGTGTATAAAATATACTACAAGTATTTTTTATTTTCAAAGTTTAAGTTTAATATTAATTCACCTTATGTATGTTTCATAGGGAATTCATGCATTGGAGCATTAAAACACCATAATTTTATGAACTGCTAGAAAATTTGTAGTAAGATTAAATGTGTATTTTAAACATAACAAACGCTGGGAATGTTTTACAAGAGGCCACGTGACACCCTCGTCGATACAGTGTATTTAAGCAAGGTAATTAATTGTAATTATTATTGGTACATAGATGAAACATCATAAAATCAAGTCGAGTCCAAATTGATCCCCTGTTGATATTCTGTAGGAATAAAGGACCTCTTTTCTAAAATAACTGACCCCCTCTGAAGTAAAACTTGACATTTTCTCATAAATGACATTGACCTCCAAGCTTTGCAATATTTTGCTATAATATGCCATAACTTTGTTATACATGTATATGAATTTTGCTACACTTGACCATGTTATTCATTGATTTAATTTATGCGTAGGCAAAAGAACAATTATAACTTTACTGACATGTTTCAAAAACATGTATGACCGACCCATAAATGACCTTGTCCATGAAGGTGGAATATTGAATTTAGCCTAGATTGTCATAACTTTACGAATTTGATCAAAGAAAAGAACCTTTATGACAAAACCGACATGTTGGATAATAAAAATGGCATTGACCTTTATTTGACATTACGTTCAAGGTCAAGCTATCGAAGCTAATTTGCTTCGATTCCTTTAACTTGATTATTCATTTATGGATATTATTATTTCTTGGACAAAAGGACACATGTGACAAAGTTGATTAAATCAAATGCGACTTTGATCTTTGATCTCAAGGTCAAACATGAATTTTGAATTATATTTTGTATTAGAAATTTGTATTTTCTTGAAGTATCTTTTAATACATTATTCTTCATCCGAGGTATTTGACTTTAGAAGTAAGAAAATAAAGAGTGTGGCTCCGCTTGGAGTCGGCTCTAGATAATACAAAAAATATAACTTGTAATTGTTTTTGATGCTCTTCTTGCAAAAGTGGTACTATCAACGTCAACAAATAAATTGTTTTAGTTTTTGATTTTTCAACAAGCACAGTCAAAACTATATGAGAAAAAGTTTGTTTGTATAAAACATTTAACTTATAACTGCTGAATTTGATATATAGGTTAATCCTACTTAAAATTTAGTTATGAATTTACTTAAAATTTGTATGTTCCTCGTTTCTTTTGAGCAAATCTTCATTAACTTCTCGTATATTATGAAAGGGGTTACCTTTCATTACACAATGACAACAAATGACAAATGGTCATTTTTTAAAGGGCAGAGTGTCATTTATATTCGCAAGACCAAGTCATAAATCTTTGACTATGAAAGGTAATAGATTAAGGTCAGTTTTCCCAGTTCTGTTCTGTTCTATAAACTTGACTAACTCGTTTACTATCATCATGGAATTCAATATCAAAAATGCAGATAATTAATATTGTGCCTTGATTAACCTTTTTGCTAAGGTTAATCAGAAGTATGCCGTTACTCCTTCTTTACTCATATAAGTAGTTGAGCGCGCTGATCCTCGGAAGTCTTTATAAGCCGAAATCTGTCCAATAAGTAAAATACTGTATTTCATGTGGCGCGTAACGCCGAAGGGAATTCAATATTTTACTTATTGGTCAGTTTGAGGCTAATATCTTACTTAAATTTCTACTTTCACTATACAATATCATGTTATCTATCTAAACATTAGAAATAATGTGTTTTAGTGCTAGAAATGTACAACTTTAATGCTTTAGCAATTATCTTTTTCTTACTTGCAAAACCCTATTTGCAAAAGCCTTTTGAATAACGAAATGTCCGTAGCATAAAATTTTCGTGTTTTGAAATATGACCAGTTATGTACATGAACACAATGATATACACAAATTATACCAGTGATACAAAATGTTGGACTTAAATGCATACAGTATACACCTATTTACATTGGAGATTTTTACAAGAAATAATTAAAATAAGAAGTTTTCAAATTTGTATTAAATCTCGGATATTTTGAATGACTGACTAAGAAGGATTTATACTGACCATTAAGAGTTAAAATATTTTTTTTACTTTGCAATAAATATCACGGATGTAAAATGTTGTGTTAGAATTGCCATTAGTATGAATTTTGGAATTTTACGCAACAAAATGATATTTTCATATTTTTGAACTGATATTTGTCATACCAGGAGTCTGGAATCCAAACATATATGTAGTCAAACATAACCGCTTTTGTTTTGATTAGATGAATTTATTTTCTCTATTACTGATATGTCCTAATGGTGGATATTAATTGATAACAACTATGTTTCTGCTTTGATCGTGTTTACTAAGGTTCCATGTTTTTCCGGAAGTCCTGGTATCATATTACATACAACATACATATATACTATGGTGGTCTCACATACATTATAACATTAGTCTATAGGACATCACATCCCTCCTCAAGTTAGATATAAAACATCAGTTTTAAATTGAACAATCAAAATGCTTAAATCATTAAGATATGAATTATGAAAATATTATATTATAGTTATGTAAACTGATATTACTAAAAATGATAAACTATTCTTACAATTATTTGATTACGATGGAATACATATAATGAATCTAACTGTAAAATTCATCCTAACTTTTTTTCTCTAGAAATGTTCACTCATGGCTGTTAACACATTCCAATCGTTTGTAGGTCAGTTTTACTATAGTCTGCAGTATCTAAATATATCCACTACATGAGCAATATCGAACATTTACACTATACAAACATGAATATTTATTTTGTTCTAAATCTGATAATTTGTTTATTTTTCTCTTAAATATTTGTTGTTAAATGCATTGTTAATGTCCACACTATATTAGAACTTCAATGTACTTTAAAAATTGTCATTTAAATCATGTTGCCGTATATAAGGTGTCATGTTACTATTGCGCTATTACGTATTAATTTTTCTATTGAGAATCTAATTACATAAAATATATCCATGATGTATACACTTATTAAACTCGCATGGCAGATCGCGTGACCTGCTTGTTCCACTGGGTTTATTATGCCCATTTTCACTGTGGAACCAATAATCTAACTTACAAAATCTTTTAAATATGCGGGCGGACGACTATCTCGTGCTGGCCTTGCCGCATAACTCGTGTTTTGTCTTTCAGCGAGTTCCTCCCCCTGATAGTCCTCAATATCGCTTTCCCCGTGCTGTTTAGGCGTATTCCCCATTGAGTCTGGATCTACTGTTTTCATAACAGATGAGTTCCTGGTGACACAATGTCCTTCATCATTTCGAACACTTATCATTGGTCCCTTTTTGTTTGTAACTTTATATGGGACTGGATTATACATTGTACTTGACTTTCTTGGTGTTTCGTTTCTAAGTAAAACTCTGTCTCCGACGTTAATGTTTCGTTCTCGTGCGTTCATTCGCTGGTCCTCGTATTGTTTTGATTTTGCTTTTGATAACTCATCATTTCTTCGTGCTATTTCGTCTGCACGCGTGTCCTCATTTTGGTGTTGATTAATGTCTGGCATACGCGTTACCGGTTCCCTTCCGAACATTAGCCGAAATGGCTTAAATCCAGTTGACACGTGCGGTGTAGCTCTGTACTGGCGAAAAAATCTGAACAGTTCTTGTTTGTAATTCCTTCCCTCCATGAATGCCGATTTAACACTCTTCATCAACGGTTTGTTGAATGCTTCTGCCTGAGCATTAGCCCTTGGCCACCTAGGCGTGATTTTTCTGTGTATAAAACCGTAAAGTCCGCAAATGCCGTACTATTAAATGGCGATCCATTATCTGTTTTAATCACTTTGGGGACACCAAACATTGAAATTATTTTGTCCATAACCGGTATGACCATATTTGCTGAAACACTCTTTACTATTTCAACTATTGGATATCGCGAGTACTCATCTACTGCAACCAATAGGTAATCACCGTTTTCTAGAGGTCCACAAAAATCTGCACTTATATTTTTCCAAGGTCCAGATGGCAAATCTGACATTTTCAGTGGTTCTCGCGGTCTTGGTTCCCTTGAGTTGGCTTGACAGGCTAGACATTTTTGTATTGCTGTTTCAATTTCTGCATTCATGTTCGGAAACCATACCTTTGATCGTATATAGCTTTTAGTTTTAACAATTCCCTGGTGCCCTTCATGTCCCAGTTTTATCGCACGATTTCGGAGTGTTTTCGGTATCACTAATTTGTCATTTCTTAATAAGACCGTGTCATTGTGAACCGTCAATTCATCTTTTACGCCTCTGAGTACCACCAGCTCTTCCATGTCGATTTTAAAATCTGTCACTGTTTTCATTTCATGCCATTTTCCATTCTTTGCGTATTCAATCGCTTTCTGTATAGTTTTATCTTTGACTGATTCTATTTTACTTCATCTAGTGTCATTGCATTTGGCACTGCCTGTGCGGAAACGAATGCTACATATTCCTCGGCTATATTTCTCTGCTCGTCACATTTCAACGGATGACGAGACATGTAATCAGACGGGTTATCCTTTCCAGGCCTGTATTCAATTTTTACATTAAATGGTTGTAGACGTAATCCCCATCGTTCAATTCGTAGTGGTGGCTGTTTCTTCTGCCATATTTTCGTCAGTGGCATGTGATCTGTGAAGCACGTGAAAGTTGGAGCACCTCTTAAGTACATCGAATAGTGCTCACACGACCATACTACTGCCAGAGCCTCTCTTTCTGTTTGTGAGTAACGTGATTCTGTCTGTGTCAGTGCACGAGACGCGTACGCGATAATTTTTCCTTCCTGTGTGAGTATCCCAGATATACCGACTGGTGAAGCATCTACTATTAGCTCAATTTCTTTTAATGGACTAAAGTATGTGATAACCGTATCACTACTTAATTCTCTTTTCAGTTTCTCGAACGCGACTTGCTGATTATTTTCCCATGACCACCCTAGGGTGTGTCCTTTTTTGTTAAACGTCTCAATGGTTCCGTTATTGTCGCATAATCCTTTATAAATCTCGAGCAATACGATGTCATTCCGAGAAAACTCCTCAATTCAGATACGTTTGTGGGCTGTTGCATGTCTCTCACTGCTCGAACCTTCACTGGATCTGGTGAAATGCCGTCTCCTCTGAATACAACTCTAAAGAATGTGATTTCAAGCTTGTTAAATTCACATTTTTCTCTATTTAATGTCAGCCCGTTACGATGCAATGCATGAAAAACTTGATCAAGTGCCTTGTCGTGATCTTTTTGACTGTTTCCATACACAATTATATCATCCGAAATATTCTTTGCACCAGCTATGTCTTGAATGATGGAACTGATTGTTTTCTGAAACACTTCACTTGCAGAGTTAGTACCGAAATTCAAACGTTTATATCTGTATAAGCCCATGTGTGTAGAGAATGTAGTGATTGATCTCGATTCTTCATCTAATTCCAGCTGATTATATCCAGCTTTTAAATCTAGTTTGCTGAACACTTTTGCACCGTTCATGTCGTGTATAAGTTCATCTATTGTTGGCATTGGATGCCGTTCTCTTTCAATAGCTTTGTTTGCCTCTCTCATGTCTATGCATAATCTTACATCTCCATTTTTCTTCGGTGGGGTGACAATCGGTGACACCCATGGTGTTGATTCATTTTTAACTTCTTCTATGATGTCATTTTCAAGTAGCTTTTCAATTTCCTTTTTGAACTTTCTTTCTTAAATGAAATGGCGTACGTCGATTTCTCTGCGCTACAGGTTTTACATCACGGTTTATGTGTGATTTGACTTTTTGTCCTTTTTAATTTCCCAATACCGTCATAAATTCCTTGATATTTATCTTCCATATTGGCCGTTATCCCTTGGTTTATTTTTATTATTTCTAATTCACATGATGTTTCACACCCTAATAGAGCTCCATGGTTTCCTTTCACAATATAAAATGGTGTTACTGTGTATTTTCTGTTCTTTTCGACCGTTAAATTCACACAGCCCTTTACGTTTAATGCACTTCCCCCTCCGTATGGAAGAAAATTTGGCAGCCCTTTTGTTTTTATTTTAGGTTTTCCTAAGTAATCATACGTGGTTTCATCTAGTATATTCACACTTGATCCTGTGTCTATTGTAGCCGTAATCGTTTTATCGTTGACTTTTATCTGTGTTTTGGGCGTTTTTGATCCTTTTTGTTTACCGACATTTTTCACTGTGATTTTATAGAGGTACTCCTCTTCCGAATCGAACTGTAGCGAATTGCTGGCGTTATCGCTGACCTCTTTGACATGCTGATATTTCGGCGCTAAACAGCAGCGCGCGAAATGATTAGGTTTCTTGCATACATTGCAGGTTTTACCTGTGGCTGGGCACGGCTTATCTCTGTGCGGGAATTCATAACCACATTTTCTGCAAGTATTGGCTGACGCACCATCACGTGGTCTACTTCGTTGATTCGATTGGTTCTTCGGACCATATTTCCCACGACCTCCAAAATTTGCATACGACCCTCTACTGTTCCCACGGCCATGAGGCATCGGCGCTCGTCCTCGTGTTCTACTATTGAACTTTGAAACCTTGTGTACAGATCTAGAATTTTCTGAATTTTCCATTGCGGATGCTTGCATATCTGATTGTTCAAACATACGTCCCATTGTAATAATGTCATCGAGTTTTTTATCTGGTTCACGTAACGCTCTTCTTCTGAGTTGATTTGAGCGGCCATGTTGTTGGCGTCCGCGCCGAAGCGCGGCGCTCTTATGGAATGAAATCAGATTTTGTGAAAGGGCGACAGCAACTTCTCGAGCCTTTTAGTCGGTCATAATAAAAGCCGATCATTCCGATCGGTATGAGGGTGCTTGATTGGCGTCCGCGCCGAAGCGCGGCGCCCTTATGGAATAAAATCAGATTTTGTGAAAGGGCGACAGCAACTTCTCGAGCCTTTTAGTCGGTCATAATAAAAGCCGATCATTCCGATCGGTATGAGGGTGCTTGATTATTAATTAAGAATGAAATGTCGCGATATGTTACAATGAATAGCGAACTGGAGAATTTCGCAATGCAAACATTTTCAAATGAAATAACCTTTTCCGTCAATAAATCGCGCTCTCCGGGGTTTTTTATTTATCATTTTGTAGTACACAGTGGGTTATCATGGTATGTTATTGTTGTACATGTATCCTAGAAAGATCAGTTGATGACCTAAATATTCCAAAAATCTATTTATAGATATATCTATTTATCACTCCTATCGGTAATTACCGGTCTCTCCCGGTCTATTTTGACCGGGATTTACTAGTGACCGGACGTTTATTGTCCGGTCTCTCCCGGTTTTGGAGTAGATGTTTGATATCGTTACAATTAGAAAAGAAAAAAACAACAATAGCATGTTTCATTTTATCTATATGTGATAAAAACAATAAATATGTACACGGATTTATATGTAATATAAATCCGTGATATGTACAATAATTGAGAAAAAGGTACATTTTTATGGTATTAAAATGACATTATCAACTTTGAAACATTTTATTTAATTTGTTATCCGTGTTTAGTAAAGATGCCGAGGAATTATTCAAAGTTACAAATTAGATTTTATGAATTATTCAATTGATTGATAATTTAAAAAATGATAAAGAAAAATACAAATGTACATGTACATGGATTGAAAATAAACAATATTATATATTAAAAGATAAACCATAATTTACTGACTATTTCCAGTTAAGCTTTGACTTATAATCGTCGGTCAATATGACAATTGAATTCTTAAAATTTATTTTACAATTTTAATAAAAAAAGAGTAGTAAAAACTCAGTATTAAAATAACACATAAAACACAAAAAAGAAAAGAAAACAATATTCATAAAATTTGTATTTTTTTTTTATTAAAATTAATAGATATTACAATTATTGTATAATAAACAATTATGCTCAACATGATCAACATGATAATATAACCAGTGTCATATTTTTACTAACTTAAAGTGTGAACAGATACCTTAAGAGGGGGTCTTCGCTAATAGCGATAACATAATGTTAGTGTAGCTAGTGATGACAACGATATTTTCGAATCATTTCTAGATGACAACGATATGGTTCCATATTATTAGTTGTTGGTGTGAGTTGCCTCCCTTTGGAAACGTGCTTCGTTTTTTGGCGCTGTTTTCTTGCCATCATATTTCGTAAATCCATAGGAGCGTTATAGAGCCCAAAAGAGGTATATTAATTAGCATATCTTCAAGTTTTTACTTTGATACTTTAATGTGTGTTGTCATTTATTTCGTATTTACTATACGTAGGAAAA